CACCTGTTGCGAAGGCTGCCGTTCTCGCGTTGGTCTTAGCTCGGGAAAAATACCCAAGTTCATCCCTCCTCTGCAGCTGCTATTGCTGTAGGTGTTGTTGCTGCTACCACTGCGAGCGAGGCGGCAAGGCACTTCAAGATCCAAAGCTGGAGAGGCTGCCCTTCTAAAAGGATGCCGCTGCAGCTGCGGCTCTCTTGGCGTCCGCTGCTGCTGCTGCTTTTGCTGCTGACGGTGGTAGTGCTCCTTCTGCTGCTCCAGCAGCAGCTGCTGCTGCAGATGCGTGATAGGGAGAACGTGGCGAGGGTTCTTGGATGTCAACGCCATGCTGCACAACGCAGTCTCCGGCTCTGCGGCAGCAGCTGCAGCAGCAGCTGCTGCAGCTGCCGCAGCTGCCGCTGCTGCTGCTGCCTTCTCCGCTGCAGCTTTCGCTTCAGGAAACACACGCAGCGAATTGTCATGCAGGTGCAGGAGCTGTTGCTGAGGCGCTGCTTCCAGAGAGCCGTGTAGAGCCTCACTCTCAAGGATTGCGGCAACGGCAGCTGCCGAGACAGGCGGTGATGAGGCACTGTCTTTTGCCGTTCGTGACGCCACTGCTGCAGCTCCTGGCCAGGGCTTAAGAGAAGAATCGGAAGGATTCAACTCGACGGGAGTGGTGTGAGCGGTTGAGATGCAGGCAATGCTCTTGAAAGGGGGGCTCAACGATAGCAGCGACTGGTGCTGCTGTTGCTGTTGCTGCTGCTGCTGCGGTGACACCAACGGCCCAGGCGTTCTAAAAAAGTTGCCGCTGCTGCGGCGCGTTCGAGGCGAAAGGGGGGTTGCTGCTGTTGTGCCTGCTGCTGCTGTTGTGCCTGCTGCTGCTGTTGTGCCTGCTGCTGCTGTCGTGCCAGCTGCTGCTGTCGTGCCTGCTGCTGCTGTTGTACCTGCTGCTGCTGTCGTGCCTGCTGCTGCTGTCGTGCTTGCTGCTGCTGCTGGCGGGAACGAGTGCTGTTTGCTGGTGCTGGTGCTGCTTTGGGGGATTCCTACGATGGTCGATGTTACTACTGCTGCTGCTGCTAAATCTGCTGGAGTCTTCCCACCCCGAGCGAGTAGCAGGGAGCTCTGTGGGCATTCTGCTGCGGTAATCTCCTTCCGAGTATGCGACGGAGCATGCTGGTGATGCTGCATTGCCATCTGCGGCAACAAGCGATGCTGTTGCTTCTGCAGCAGCCCATCCTTCGCAGCGCCATCCATCTCCGGCCTGTGGGTGTCGCTGCTGCTCATGATACTGCTCGTGCTGCTGCCACTTGACTCCTCCTGCCGTCGACGGCCGTGTTGGGGAGTCGGAGGCTGATGGCGCCGTGCAGACGCTGTGTACAGTGTCGCTCCCTATTCTCTAAATCAGCTGTGGAAGCCGCAAGTCCAAGTGCTTACTGTCGGACGTAGAAAGCGCTGCTGGGAGTCACTAAGTCTTAGTGGGCAGCCGCGTGCCCTGCAGTACCATCGTAAGGTGGTGGGGTTGTTGTCGGTCTGCGGAGGTGTTGCTGCGGTTACTGCCGCCACGATTCCCGCCACACGAAACTTTCCCTGAATATATTATCAGTCTTGTGCTGGAAACACCCCTAACTGAAAGATTCCCGATTAGAAAAGCTTCCTGGGGCATATATAGTGCCGCGTCGGCAGAGGGGCCCTGACCATTGGGAAACTCCGAACACCACCGTCGCCGCATGTCTAAGATCCGCGCATGCGGAGAGCGAATTCTGAATCCCGTACATTTATTATGTGTTTTCAATCCTGGACACACTCCCCTTCGATCCTGCCTGGGCACGGAGCACTGAGATGCTTGCCCTCCCCCAGCATTGCTGACTGCAAATTTCATGAACTGTTCCTATTGCACTCGCAGTTTCTACTGCTTTGAGCCCCCCACCAGCACATGGAGAGAGGATTGCACGCACTTCGATGTTGGCGTGTATGATAAGTCATGCAGAACGCGGCGCAGAGGGGCGTAATTTGTGCACCGCGAATGTAGGGGCCATGAGTACAAGAGACAGAGAAAGACAGAGAGCCGTATAGGCCAGCCTGTAATATCCTCCTCTTCGATCTCATCGACTGAGGAGTGAGTTGAAGGTTTAGGTGGTGTGGCCGGAGAGCTCGATCATTGCGCTCTGACACAACGCGGCCAGGGCATCCAGGCCCTCTTCCCCACGCCACTAGTAATACCCAGCTGTAATCCGTCAAGCTGCACTTAAGAAAAATATCCTCCACTCTAGTCTATCAAGAGTTATGCAAGAAGCGACCATTTGGCTTGGCTGCCCAAATTTCTGTTTGTTCCAAAGAAGAGTTAGCTCAACACGATACGAAGGAGTGTGATCTGCTCGCGCGCTGTATGCAATGGAAGAAATATGCAGCCAGCCGTGAACGCTTGAAGTGTTTAGAGTGTGCGGCACTGCGCTGCCTAGCTCACCACTTACCTCATGCCGGCACCCTCAGGGGTAAGGGCAGAGGAGGGGGAGAAGCACTTTTCTGAGAACGCGCACTAGCTTTCTGGCAAATCGTGGTGATACTCGATTCGGAGCATGAAGGCCCTCTTTAGGGAGAGCCTTCAGGAGGAGGGTACGCTAGACCGGCGGTTACTGACAATCTAAAGTGCTCGGGTGGCCTTGTGTAACGCTCCCGCTACAGTTTTCGTACGGAGACATTTCACGCAAGACTCCCTGAGAACTCAACAGAAACTTGTTGAGTGCTTTTCAAAAAAGCTTAGATCTTTCCTTGCCAACGCTTCTCAGGCTTGTCGATATAACGCGAGAGGGACAACAGGCTAGGCTGCGTGCAGCTGCATTCCCTAAGTACTCTGGGCAACCACATCTAGTTGCACAAACCAGCCAGCCTGTTGTGCACAAGCACACAGCATTGTGCATTCTTTTATCAAGCCGACATCACCAAATAAGATGTAAGAACAGACAAGCGAGATGGTCAAGCAGTTACGAGTCCTCAATCACACATAACTAGTGTGGTAGATGTCGCACAAGTAGCGCTGGACGCGCTACACGTATCCTTATTTGCGTTTAGCCCTGACGCCTTCAGAGCATCGCTCCTCTTTCGATTTGGTGTCTAGTGAATCTTCGATTTGCAGGACATTAAGATATTGTTGACTTACCTAACGGGTTCACAGCAGCGCCCCGAGCACCACTAGGAGCATCTGAACTAGAATGGTAGTACTCAAGCCTTTAAAAATTGGCCAGGGGGAGTGTATTTGTGGCTCGGTTATTCTGGCACGCTTTGCGCTGTGATTGGGCTAGTTCCAGACAATGAGAATGCATGCTGTGCGCATGCACCATGTGCTGCTGCGTGCCTCTACGTCCAGACTGCTCAAGGTTGCCGCATATCGACTTGCACGGCAGCTGGCTTTTACCCTCGAGCAGGACCTTGTGGGTGATGAGCGCCAGACGAAAGGAGAAAGGCTGTCTCGGAGCGGTACCTAGTTCCTTTCTGTAAGTCTCTAACGAGTCGTTTGGGACTGATAAGAAGTTCCCTGTAGTCAATTTAAGGGGGAGCACTAAACTAGCTTGTGCTTCTTGATGGCGACCTCCCCTTTACCTCGTCTGATGTCTGCGCCTATATAAGCTGGAAGTTACTCGTGCGTCGGCCGCTAATGACATCTCTATGTCTATTCAGCTTCTCGACTGTTAGTCCCCTGCTTTCGCTTCCAGCGCTCTCTGGCTTCTACTTCTGGCTTCCGCCATTCCAACCAGCACATGCACCCCATAGTTTGAATCTCAGTCAAGCATGTGAGTATCAAACTGCAGTCGCGCCTCTCGGCGCTGGCTCAAAACCTTTTAGGGCAAGTCTGCGCCGTCCTTACACGACGCAAGGTCGACACACTATACGGGTCCATTAAAGTGTCTTATGAAGACAGCAGGAACAATGATAATCCATGCAGGAGTACCACACCCCTTAAGTCCCGTTTGATGTGACTGTTTTCCTCACGGATCTCTGTCTAAGACTCGCCAAACCCTCTTTCTGCCTCCCATGCTCATTCAGTTCCCCAAGGGGTTGGGAGTGTAGCTTGTGGTGCAGGGAGGGAGGGAAGGCTGCCTTTTATGTATCCGTGACTGCCCTTTGTTTTCGACGTGCGCGCTGAGGAGGGTCTTTCCAGTCCACTTTGTCGAGCAGCTGTCGCGTGATCCTTGCGCGACCTCCCGTAAGCTTCCAAACGAAGGTGGCCATTGACATCAGACTGGTCAATTTTCCCTGCGGTAATTTTGGGCCAGTCACTGCCAAGCACTTGAGTGGCAACCGCACCCTACAGAAGAGGAGACAGCGGTCCATTTACATCCTTGCGCACTCCCTAGACTCCATTCAACGCTGCAATGCCGGTTGCATTACTATATACTGGATAACTTGGAGGATCCTTACGAGGCACCTAACAGGTCCTCAAAAGGGACTGCTGCGGCACTCTGGCAAAGGGAAAACTCTCCAAGCAGTCCTTTGCTCTTCATGCGTCCAAAGAGCATTCGAACTGCCGAGAAGTCTGAAAACGGAAGCGCAGCGTGCAACTTGACTGCTACTCAAGTACAGTCGAGAATGAAGCTCGTTCGTTTTCCTGTCACGCCGAGTTGGTCTCTCTACAGGGCCGCGTGCGGAGGCCCCTGCATAAATGGAAGGATTCAAAAACCTTGGAAAAGGTGTCTGTCGGCCAGAGCCAGAACATGCAACCCTCTGCTTGCGCCTCTCCCCATGTCCAGCTTTTTCAAGTATAGAAGCAAAACGTTCCGCGGGCTGTTTGTATGAGTCCTTTTGGCCGGGGGCCAATAACGAGTTCCTCTGCAATGAGTGCTGTGAGAAGAAGGCAGCTTCATAGTGACTAGCTGGCAAAAAACACCCCCTAAAACGGAAAACCAACTCTTCAGACATACCCTAAGGAACCTGTAGTGTATGCTGCATGGTGAGGAGGCTCAGGCGTTGCCGTTCTGAAGGCGGGGCCCCCGCCTCGCCCCCAGTATCGTCGGACTCCTCAAGCATATTTACACTTCCTCATCGAGTGTCTTGGCAGCTTTTCCCTTGCCTGCCTCGATTTGCTTGTAGGTCTTGAACTCACACCCGTTGCCGCCAGCCTTGAAGACGCAGGCAGCTGACCAGAAAAGATTGGCAAACCCAAAGACCACACCGATGGTAAAAAGCTGCGTAAGGGAAGAGGTGACCATTACCCACTGAAATTCGATCGTGCCGTCCGACAGGCCGCGCCCCCAGTGGACCCAATCGATGATAAAAGCAATTAACTGAGCAGAAATTATGCACGACGCACACACTCTGAAGGCCATGTTTGATGCCTTGAGGAGACCCCTAGAAATTCACTACAAGCATGGCCAGCACAGTTGCAAACGTTCGCCGAGCAGAGGGGAGGCAGATACGCCAATGCAACTGCCTGTGCCTCTGCGCTAAAGCTAATCTACAAGGCAAAGCGTTTACTACCGGCATCGATGCATTAGGGCGATCCGCGTTGTGAGACATTTTCCGGTGTCAGCGCTCTACCCCCACAGCAGTGGCACAAATCGCAAGCCAGCCAAACTACAATAGCGCCTCATAAGCCCCACCTTGAAGAGGCCATTGGCCAGAGTCACGATGAAGGCCACGAACGTGAAGAGGTAGGCAATAAGTCCAAGCTTGAGGAACCCGAGACCAACGCACAGGCATACGTAGCCCCCAATGACCGCATTGATGATGCCACCCACGAACTGCGTCTCGGAATAAGGGATTGTCTGTTTTGCTTGATATATGTCCAAGCCGCCAATGACGCCGAAGTAGGCCGCGATTATCAAAAGGCCTATTGCCAAGTTGAAGCAGCAGCAGCTCTTCTCTCCGGCTGGATTGCAGCACAGCTGACACATCTTGAAGAGGCTCGTGACGAGGAACAAATGCCTAGGAACTTACGGATGGGGTTTACGCCTCGATGCTGGCACTTTGACAAGTTTGCTGCTAGCGGTCACTCGAGTTGGGGTGGCCTCGGGGCACCAGCGGAAATCAGAAGCAAAAAGGGGCTGTCTTTACATTTTCTGCGGCAGAAAATTAATTAAAGGAGTAGAGTTAAAGTTTAAAGCACAGGACATAGGAAGTGGTCATACGGAATTTCGCTGCTGTGTGCGTGAGACTCCACCACTAGCTGAGTCAGGCTGGCAGCACCCAAGCTTCCCGCTTTCATTGCTACTTGTCTTATTTGGGACCCCCCCGTAGTGCATGCATGAAACTATTGTTTTGCTTTTGGTGCTGCCTACGGCTTGGCAGAAATCCTATTTCTTGGAGGTTCTGCCAGGAAGTGGTGAACCACCCTCGATAGCCAGTTCCGATATGAACGCCTGAGCCTGATTGTTTCTTACACACTTATTTCTGCGATTGCTTCTCCTGTTTTTGTATGCGTGATTTGTTACACGTATTGTGCAAAGGAATGAGTCGATCCTGAGCTGTGCAACGGTTTTAGATTACTCCCCATGCAAGGGGAGTCCAGTGACTATCTTCGCATCCAATATTCTCTGTACCTTCATGCTGCTAAATACGAAACTTTTTCACAGTTAAGAGGCTACCATGCACTGGTGTCCCTTGTGCCGTTGCTGGTGGCACGCCATGCTCTGAGATCGCGTAGTTGAAGCGCTCGCTTGCCGGTGTGTGCAGTGCCTGGGTGGTGGCTCAAGCACCGCCATGATGGTTTATAGTGCGCCAGTTTTCGCTCAATCAGTGATTAGGTTAGCATTTCCTCTATTGCCTGGCTGTTCGTCCACTGCAAGTGGTGCGGAGCACGGTGGGCCCCAAAAGGGGAAAACGTGCACTGGACGCCTGTGCGTTCCGCTACTGCGAGCTGTTGTGCCGGAACGCCACGAATACTCTTCAGATGGTGTAGATACTTTTATATTGGCTGTCTCGCCTGGCAGGCCATGAAGCCCAGTGGATGAAGGTTATCGGGAGGGGGCTGAGTGAAAAACCCCTCCTGATGGCTTGATGAGCAGACCCTTTGTCCCCCAAACCTAGCAAAACTTGAAGAAACAATAGATGACTTTCTTCCAGAAAAGCTCGCCACTATTTTGCCATCACACACCGCAGGGTACCACCCAAGAAAGGTGGGCTCTTGCTGTATGGAATTAACCAGTGACAGCGTATACGCATAGTCAAGTCGGAGTCCATTCGTTGACCACACCCCAACAATGAGTATCTAGCGAGGAAGACACTGCTGCAGTGTGCTTGGCCCACTGTAGACACCGCTTTTCATGGATCCACATGCTGCTTACCGTAGGGCTTAACGAAGTTCCGGGTTTGCCGCCTCCTTTTGTGATTTTGTTGCTGGTGTCCACGTAGGATTAGGGCGCTACAAGGAAGAAAATTTATCACTTACTTATTGCACGTTGCTGTTTTCTGCGGAGGGTACAACCCTTCTTACTCTTCTAACCACGTACGTCACACGGGTACTGGCTTACCGTTAAAATATTACTTGAATACAGTCATAACCGTGACAGAACTATCATGGCAAGTACCCCCCCGTGGCAAGCGGAATACGCTCGTCAAGGTGTGCTGCAGCCGTCATCCAAGAAAATGAATGCTTTCCCATTTGAAACCTACGTGCCCAACGCACCGTTCCAGTTCTTTGTTTCCCCTCATATCGATTTTCTACCCCGAAACATTTCGTGCGATTGACTAAGCGAAGCTGGTAGATAAGCTGATGACGTGAGAATGGATTTGCACGTATTTCTGTATCATTTTCAATCGAGTTCGATGTTTAAGTAGTTGAAGTCAGGCAAGCCTTTTTTCAGCCTTTCTGAGCGCTCTGTGCTTCCTTTTTTTGGGCCTTTGAGATAAATATCCACAACGCTCCTCAAAAAGTCGCCCGAATTCGATTATCAGCTCACAGCACTCGCCCATGTCTCAGTATGCGAACCACCGTACACGCCCAAAAATTTTAGCCGGAAGAACGCAATGAGCGAAAACCAAGCTTCGTAGCGGATTGAGTAGTGACAGCACCAATATTCACGAGCTAGCCAGATGGAGGCAGGCATCCAAGGTCTCAGAACCCGCATTGACGAAATCAAATAGGCACATCGGGATGATGAGCTGTGTGAAGACTTCGGGCTCTCAGGGGTGCACAACAGAAGAACTATGAACAACGGAGAGAGTGTGCCAAAAGGCGCAGCACATACCGTTCCAGGTACCAAACGAGTGATTTCAACCTTGCTCGAAAAAGTGGAAAATCACCAATGGCCTTAGCTGCAAAATTATCGAAGCGACTTCAAGCCACTATATTCAAGGTGGAGAAAGCCTCATACTTGGTAGAGTCAAGGCCTGATGCCTTCTGCCGTACAACTCTTGAAACTAACTATGCACACGTTAAACGTTTCCTTTTACTGATAGTCTAGGAAAGCGTCGGTTTGCGCAATCGGGAATAAGCTGGGCCGGGTAATCACGGATGAGCCGGTGTGTGTTCAGGAACTTTGCAAGTGGTGGCTTGCTTACTGCGCCTCCTCTTACAACATAGTACATACTCCCCCGCACAAGATTTACATGTTCTTTCTGCAGAGTGAACAATACACTATGCGTGGTATCTCACGATGCGCATGTGCGCCATCGAAAGTTTATCCCGAAACGCAGTTGTGGTACAGTACAAGGCTACGCTGCAGGAAAGGAACATGTATATCCTCATGGCTGGAGGACAAATCTACAGGCACATGAGATGGAGAGACAGCAGCTGGTCTTATTATGTGTAGTCTGTTTTTGCTTGCATCATTACCAAGACTGTGGTTGCACTGTGCGCAGTGTACATGCCCTTAAAGAGTGCATGTCATTCTGGCACCTGCTATCCACTCTGGGGGATATGCACACGCTGTAGCAGCCAACACATACTCTCTCTGTAGGATCCGATTCCAAAGAACCAGCTTGGCTTGCCGATCAGTGTGCCTTTTCCGATGGATGGCGGGGCAGAACAGCGGGCAGCAGAGGGCTCTTTCTGCGTCCAGCGCGGCGAGTAAAGACCCCCGTTGATGATCGAATGTATCCACACTGAATTGCTCTAGAGGCCACTCTACCTGAGGCTCAAAATAAGCAGCTCTCTAAAAGAATAATGAAAAATTCGAGAACCTTTAAAGCAAGCTTCCCGTGCCGTCATAACAATGTATCGCGCGTGTACAGCTACTGCCGACCTGAGCCATAGAGCACGAGGCGCCACAGAAGTGACCAGCGTACAGTCTTAAGGGGCAGGACACCATGAGGGACTATGCACGGCCCGTTCGTTCACGCGCACCGTAGGCTTGAAGATACAGCTCTTATTTACGATCGCTCCACTTCTCCCGAATGTCTATCCGCAGTCCCTCCTCCTTTAGGCCGAACCGCGACACTGCCCGCGGGCAGCAGTATAGCGCGATCAGGGGAGCCACATCTAAACAACTCTGAAATCTAGCTAGTTCTAGCAGAGGCATAGTTCGGTGCAGCAGGGGATCAACAAAGCACAGGGGGGTCAGCCTTCAGCCTCCCCAAGTAAATCCCTTCCAGCCTGGTGGGCCTGTCGAGCACAGCAAAACAGCCAAAGGGATCATTCTCGGGGAGACGGGTGACACGAGTGCCGCTGGAGGCTCTGGGTGTCTATCCAGTGCTCTACGATACTTCCGCGGAGCGGCCGCCGGGAAGGGAGTTTCAGACGGAGGTGTACAGACCGTGCTGTTAACAGGACGTTGCGGCATTGAACCCGAGCCAATACGCCAAGGGACAGAACGAGGAACAAGGACAGTCATTTTGAGGGCTCTTGTGTATACCGCTGATGCCACAGCAGCGAAGGCGCCCGTTTGAAGCTTCCATTTCGAACTCTGTGAGGTGCAAGCGCCTGCCCCACGTCATGCTCAGATCGAAAAAGCGGAGCAAGCTCTAGGCTTTGGACCACTTCGAGCACGTGCGCGCGCATCAGTGACCCCCTAGAGTGCCTCCCCCGTCTACTTCCCTCTCCCCCCTCTCGCTTCTCCGCCTACTACGGAGGAGCTGTTGAGAGACTGCGTGCAAGCTCCTCGGGAGTAAGTTCTAGGCACCCAGTGATGCGCAGGAGTGAGGGACCCTCTAGAAGATGAGAATCTCGAAGCATCTTTTAGGAGTTGCGAAGATGCGAACTAGAGCCCTCCCGAACAAGGAGAGTAGCGCGCTTGCGTGGAAGCGACAGGTGCTGGAGCGCTCATGAAAAAAGAAAAATGAGGGGGATGGGAGCAGTGGACATGATGTGGCCAGGAAGCGGAGCCAGAGCAGCCTTCCCCCCTCCCCCTCGCCAAAAGGTCGAGGACGAGGCAAGAGGGCAGCGTGAAAACGGCGAAAGAGTGCGCAGCAGCGATGCGCTGGCAATACGCAGACGTGTGGAAGTGCAGCGTTTCCCTAGAGAATACGGCAACTAGGCTTAGAAAAGAGGATGCCTCTACAGAGACTGAAGTTCGCCACGAAGGAGCCAAGGCTAAAGGGAAAGCCCGCACGGCACGAAGTCTCAGAGGGCAGGTGTATAACAGTCCCTGCTGCGTCTCACGCGCTGAAACGCGCTATCCACCACACGATCTGCAGCTCTCTGCTCCCTTGTCGCTGCTGCTGTCGTTGTTGCCACTGCTGTGGCTCAAGCCCAATAGGCGCAGCCACGGCAACGCCTCGGGAGTATCCGCCTCTTGCAGCAGCAGTGCAGCGGCAGCAGCGATGTCTCCTCGTGTTGTGAGTTTCAAGTTTTCTCGGCTGTCGCCGCTCAACACAACGGCGCACGCTGAGTCTCTGGCTTGTGCTGCCGCGCTTGCTGCTGAGTTCGGCAGCAGTTGCAAGAGGGAGACATCATCTGTAATGCCTTGCAGGATCGCGTCAATCTCCTGGAGGCGTTTTTGGTGCTGCGGTGACGTTTGTTGTAGCTGCTGCTGCTCATGCTGCAACGCGAAGAGCTCGGCGAAGGCCTGAAGCAGCACGTCAAGTCTCAGCACCTGCACCATACACACACAAAAAGAGACGCGCGCAACGAATCCAACGAAATTGCTGTGGCATGCAGCTGCCGACTCACTCAGAGCCAGCGAGGGCAGCGGCAGCGCACACGAGGCCCCTACTGGAGAGCCGTCTTCCCTGCGGAAGAGATGTGGCAGCCGGCACAAGTAGCAGCCGCAGCTTCTGCTGCTGAGGGAGGAGTACAGACAGAGAGACAGCGCGACTGCACCTGGGGAGTTTGTGCTAGCAGGGTGTCTCCGCGAGGTAGATGGCCATACACGCCTGCCTTTGGCGTTCCTAGCTTCACGGTGTCTGTTGCTGCTGAGCACACGACTGCGGAGCTTCTTGATGCAGCAGAAGCAGCAGCAACTGCGGCTCCTGCTGCTGTGGGGGGCATGCAAGGCCGGGCTGCATCGTGCACCAGTACGTACACCCCGCGCGGCGTTTTCTGCTGCTGGTCTTGTTGCTGAGAGCGAACTATTCGAAGGAATTCGAGAGCTCTTTGTCTGCGAGCTGCAGGGGTTTGCGCACAATTCTGGAGCCCCTGCTGGCTGCGCCTTTCCCCCTGCTGATGCTTTTCTTCTTCGTCCTTGTGTTGCTCTTGCTGCTCCTGAAGGTGCATGCAGACTTGCTCTACCCCGTGCCAAACGGACTCCCACCGCTCCTCGCCTGGCGACGCAAATAAAAAGGCACAGGATTGCTGCTGCTGCTGCTGAAACCTCTCAAAAACGGGCAAGAGACGATGCCTGTACTGCGGCGCGGCAACAACGACCATACCCTCTAAAATGAAGGTGTTACTGCCGCTGCAGGTGTCACTGCTGTTGCAGCTGTTGATGGAAAGGAGCTTAGCAGCCGAGATGGAGGCTGCGTCTGTCCCCCACAGCAGCGGCTGGAATTGTTTCGGCTGCAGTCCGCCGCAGCGCCTCCCTATACCCCCGGAAGCCAGCACAATATACACGTGCACGCCTTCAGCTGCTGAAACGCCTTCACCCGACGTCGAGGCTTGCACCGGTGGGGTTGCTGCTGCCCGTACTGCTGCTGACGGCGGCAAGAGCCTGCCCGTGCTTCCAGGAAGCGCGGCTGGCTGCAGCAGGGAGGGGGGCGCCTCAGGAAGGCAGGAGAGGGAGGCGACTGGGGGTTGTTGCTGCGTTCTTCGCAAGGCACTGGCCGTGAGTTGCTCTCCAGACGGGAGCAGCAGCAGCAGCAGCAGTAGCTGCAGCAGCAGCTGCTGCTGCAGCACGACGATCTGCGCCAAAGCCCGCTGCATGGGGGCCCCTGCCGGTGGCATGAAGCGCAGAGGGACTGGGGGCCCCAGGGGCCCCCGACACCGCGAAGACAGAGACTGGTGCGAATAGACGCAGGCGTGTTCAGAGGGGGGACAGTAGCGGGCAGAAAGACGCATGAGCACGCGAATATATTTCGTTCTTCCTTAGGAAGACTACGAGAAAGATCCCCGAAGAAGCCGTGCAGCAGCCTTGAAACCCTCGTGTGTTTCCCTCGCACCGGGGGGAGGGGTGGGGCTGGGAGGGGCCCCCGGAGGGGGCCCCTCCCAGCGGGGGTGGTGATGTGCATAGGCATGCAATGAGTGGAATATGTCGTCTTGGGGCATTAGAAATGTGAAAAAAGATCTTTTGGGGTCCTGCAGCAGCTTTGAGGGTTTTTGATCCTGAGGAAGCGGCTCAGAAGTGAGTGCCTCTCCGCGCTAGCTGCGCTGTCTGTACAGTCCAGCGGCTGGCGCCTTGCGCATTCCGCCTTTCGGCGTAAGAGCGCTGCTCTCGGTGGCAACGGAAGGCTGTGCGTGGAGGGTCGGGAAGGACTGAGAGAGAGCGACAGCAGTCTACAGCCTCATCATGCCTCGATGTCTCCAGCCGAGTATGCAGAAGGCCGCTTGCCCCTGTGGGAAGCGATTCCGCGCCTTCGTACGTTTGGCGCACGTGTTTTCGCTGCAGCGAGATCCGCCGCAGCATCCGGCTGGTCAGGGGGTTCCGTGGCTGCAGGCCTGTGGATACCGTCACTCAGTGCCGCTTGCCTCTTCCTCTACAACGGCCGTTGCTGGACGCGACTTGGCACGCAGTTCTGCCTCAAGCCGCCCTCCACAGGGAGCCGCGCCGACTCCGCGGCGTCGCTGCAGCAGGAGGCAGCAGCAAGGCGCGCTTCTGAGGCGCCTGCGCCCGCCGAGATGAGGAACGTGGTGTTGCTGTATCCGTGGGATTTTCCTGCCGCGTCAGAGTGCTGCTCGCTGCTGCTGATCCACGCGGATACGGGGCAGTTTGTTCATCCGCTGCAGCAGCAACAGAAGATAAGCGGGTGTCAACGTGAGGCGGGCTGCGCCAGCTGCGACGACGCATCCCCAGGTGCCGGCCTTGGGGTGTACGTACACCTGAGGAAATGGGGAGTCAAGGTGCGCTCCGCACCGGCGGCTGCTGCCGCTCTTCCGGCCTTGTCGGTGTCTGCGGACGTCCTTAAAAGCCTCGAAGGCGATGCAGCCGTTGCCGCAGCAGCTCTGGCCGTGCCGAAGCGGCAGGAAGGGGCGGCTGCAGCAGCGGCTGCCGCTGCGAAACTCCCCTGCAGCTACTGCTGTTCAGCTGTCAAGAGACTGCCGTGGGTTGCAGTGCGGCAGCAGCTGCATGGCCCCTCGGAAGAGCAGGAGGACGTCCTCAGCAGAGAGCCTGGCACCAGCAGCAACAGTGATGAGGAATCAAGCAGATTTCCAGCCAGGAAACGCCGGCTCCTCCCGCTCAATGAACGCAACAAGGAGAGCGGCGGGAGCAACACCATTCCCGTGTTTTCATGCCCCGCAGATGGTAGTGCATTGGAGGCAGTCCTCTCGCTCCCGTTTGGGGAGGCCTCCTGCTCCTCAGCAGCAGCAGGGAAGGCTAAGGAGGAAGAGCGACTTGCGCTTGGAGAGGCGCTGTGCCTTTCTCCGCGAAACAAGCGATCGCCCTCGACTGCAGCCGCGGCAGCCTCCGGAGAGCTGCTCCTGGCCGTGCAGTCCGCCCGTTCCTGTAATTTGCTGCAATGCACTGAGGCTTTTCGGCTAGATACTGCCCCGTGAACCCTTTTGACCAAAGTCGGCAGCCACCTAACGAGCTAGCTAGCGAGCTAGCTAGCGGACTAGGCCCCTTGTTACGTGTGGCTAGCTAGGCAGGCAGACTGGAGCAAGAGCTGCGCTTAGGAAGGGCCTCAGCGCAGAGCGCATTGGCGCAAGAGGAAACCCTTCCTCAATGAGCTTTGCCTCCCCTAATAGAGCTGTTTTGCGTACTCAGCTGACTACCCCGAGAAAGCACATACTGGCGACTCTGCAACTGAGACGCCCCCGTGGCAGGCAGCTGCTCGCCGAATCGCATGTGCTGCCGCAGCAAAAGCTACTGCTCTACTACCCACGCAACACGCAAAGAGGTCGGCACATGCAGCGCCTACAAAAAAATGGCCGCAACGCAACTGCGGCAAAAGAAGGCTTGCAGCCATTTCAACGCCAAATCCTATGAGGAACCGCTGCTGCCTAAAGGCAAGGAGGGGGCAAAGGGAGGCGTGGGGAGCCTGTGGGCGCGAACGTTTGGTATCTTTTCTTTCCTCTGCTCTTTTAAGAGCGCGATCAGAATGCAACATGGAAGACGGCTTTCTCGACTTCGCAGTAAAAAACGCCGCTCTGGACTAGAAGCAGCACGAGCAGTCGAACGGGCATTGTGGTGTATTTCCACCTTGACCTGAAGCAGCAACAGCAGCGCAAGCGGCAGCGCGAACGAATCAGTCTCCGATTTCGTTGTGCTACTGCTCCCTTAGCTGAAGCCTTAGTAGGGGGCAAGCGAAGAGGGGCCTTCAGCAACACGCCGCGCACGCAGCAGCAGGGAGGAGAAGAAAACAGAGCGTAGGTGTTACCAATTTTGAGCTCCTCAAGCGAGTATATAGGCAAACCGTCAGTGGTTCTCTTCCGAAGTCCAGCAGCAGCAACTCCCGGTGGGGGTTGCTGCTGCTTTTGCTGCTCCCCCTTCTTGTGTTTCTTCTTCTTCTGCTGCTGCCAAAGCATCCGCTGCCGTTGCCGCTCCCGCTCAACCTTCTGCTGCTGTTGCCGCTGCTGCTGTGCCGCCTTGAGGGGTGCAAAGAGGGCATCGATGTCACGCTTGCTGCTGATGCTGCTGCTGCTGTTGCTGCTGCTGCTGTTGCTGCTGCTGTTGCTGCTGTTGCTGCTGTTGCTGTTCCCCCTCGCTGCTCCCCGTGCTGCTAGTTCTGCGGGTGCTGGTTTCTTCTTGTTGCTGCCGGCATGGCTGTTTTCCGAAGCTGTTTGGGTACCGCTCTTGTGTACAGGCAGCAGCTGCTGCTTCCTCTTTTTCTTCCGCTGCTGCTGGTCCTTCCCCAATGGGGGCCTCCTCTTGGACTGCATGGCTGCTGCCGCTCCTTCTGCTGCTGCCACTTGCGAGTCACCCTGCCCAAAAGGCGGCAGATGCAGAGTATACACCGCAAGCCGGAGACAAGGAGCTCGTTTGTGTAGGAACTCGCAACTAGTTACCACCGCTCTGTGTCTGTATGCCCGCCTGTCTGTCTGTTACCCGCCTGGGATTGGAGGCCAAGGGGCCCCTTTCCGCCTCCTGTTGCACCGCAAAAGAAACGTGCTGGGTTTTTACCCATAAACAACCTTAGTTCCTCAAAAAAATTCGAGAAAAAAGCCATCTCTTCATAGCCTGGCTTGCAAAGGGCCCCCAGCGTAGTGTCCTCCCGCAGCCGCTGCTGCTGCTGGCGTCCATTCGACGCAAGTCGCGCGAAGTGCTCCTGGGCAGCAGCAGCAGCAAACCAGCCGCAAATACACACGAAATACATATTTCATACGGCAAGAGATCTCATTTTGGGGGGAGATCGCAGCGGCACCGCCTCCAGTAGCATCTGCCTTGGGGTGTATGTAGCAGAGTACAAGACTCGGTTGTACGTACAGCCCGCACGGCATCAGCGCACATAACGACCACACCACCAGCGCCAACCCCCCTACAAGCGCCATATTTACCTGTCGATATTATAACAGGACGTATTTCTGAGGCGGCAGAAGGAGCAGTGGCCACAGCCATCAGCCCCCTGCAGTGTCATTGGTAACCACTGGAGATATCGCCGGTCGGTAGTACCTGCAGCAGTTGCTGCAGCAGATGCAGCAGTTGCTGCAGCATCTGCCGTGAAATGCACATTACAACGACATCGCCTCCAGACATCCAGAAGACAGCGCTCTCCTCCCTCGGCAGGCATATCATCCCATGCAGCACTCGTGCAGCAGCAGCAGCTGTACGCCTCCATTTTACTGGCCAGCCTAATATGCGCGTCTAATTAACATGCGTGGCAATGGATCCTTCGGTGCATCTCCGAGCAGCGGCTTCAGCGACTGCCGCTGCGCAATCGTTCGAAAATGCAGGAGCGCAGAGAAACCCTTCGCGTGTATGGGAGGCTTGGGAGGTTTCAGGAAAACAGAGGCTAAAGGCTTGCAGCGCAAGCAGCAGCAGCGGCAGTCTCCTGAAAGAAGACATTCTGAGCAGCAGCGTGACGCCTCCCCAGTTTGTTACGGTTGCCTCTTTTTCCTCTGAGCCCCCTCCTAAGGGAAAGCTGCCTCCCCCTCCTAAGGGAAAGCTGCCTTCCCCCCCTAAGCCTCCTGCTGCTGCAGCAAAACCTCCAGCTGCTGCAGCAAAACCTCCTGCTGCTGCAGGTTCTCCCCCTCCTGCTGCAGCAAAACCTCCTGCTGCTGCAGCAAAACCTCCTGCTGCTGCAGCAAAACCTCCTGCTGCAGGTTCTCCTCCTGCAGGTTCTCCCCCTCCTGTTGTAGCAAAGCCTCCTGTTGATGCAGCAAAACCTCCTCCTGCAGGTTCTCCCCCTCCTGCTGTTGCAGCAAAACCTCCTGCTGTTGCAGCGAAACCTCCTGCTGTTGCAGCAAAACCTCCTGCTGCTGCAGCAAAACCTCCTGCTGCAGGTTCTCCTCCTGCAGGTTCTCCCCCTCCTGTTGTAGCAAAACCTCCTGTTGATGCAGCAAAACCTCCTCCTGCAGGTTCTCCCCCTCCTGCTGTTGCAGCAAAACCTCCTGCTGTTGCAGCAAAACCTCCTGCTGTTGCAGCAAAACCTCCTGCTGCTGCAGCAAAACCTCCAGCTGCTGCAGCAAAGCCTCCAGCTGTTGCAGCTAAACCTCCAGCTGTTGCAGCAAAGCCTCCTGTTGATGCAGCAAAACCTCCTGTCGATGCAGCAAAACCTCCAGCTGTTACAGCAAAACCTCCTCCTGCAGGTTCTCCCCCTCCTGCTTCAGCGAAACCTCCTGCTGTTGCAGCAAAACCTCCTGCTGTTGTTGCAGCAAAGCCTCCTGCTGCAGGTTCTCCTCCTCCTGCTGCAGCAAAACCTCCTGGTGTTGCAGCAAAATCTCCAGCTGTTGCCGGAGCAAAGCCTCCTGCTGCAGGTTCTCCTCCTGCTGCAGCAAAATCTCCTGCTGCTGCTGCAGCAAAATCTCCTGCTGCTGTTGCAGCAAAACCTCCTGCTGTTGCTGGAGCAAAGCCTCCTGCTGCAGGTTCTCCTCCTGCTGCAGCAAAATCTCCTGCCGCTGTTGCAGCAAAACCTCTTGCTGCAGGTTCTGCCCCTCTTGCTGGAGCGAAGCCTCCTGTCGCTGGAAAGCTGTCTGCTCCTTCTGCCGGAGTTCAAGCTTCAAGTACGCAGGCTGCAGCTCCTGGAAGTGCTGCCGCCCCTGCAGGTAAGCGTAACACACGCTTTCTTCGAATTTCCCTCGCCAGTGTGTATGTATGTATGTGCGATCTCACAAAGTTCTCCAGTATCGCAGCACCCTTGGAGAAGTTTCTTTCACGTAATTTTTCGTCGGGTTGCGTCGTGTATCGCGTGGCATAGGGCGTGCTTCTGCTGCTGCTGTGATTTTCGGTTTGTTTATTAGGGTCGAGAATGCTTTTTTTCAAAGACAGCGATCCGCAGACGCTGTTTAAGATGCTTGCAGGGGAGTCTACAGACAAGGCCGCCTCCCGGATGGCGTCGCGCCTCAGTGAGCTTGTTGAAAGCCTTGGAAGTAGTGTTGCTGTTGTTGTTGCTTTTTGCGCGTCTGTCAACTGTATTATGGGGGAGGGGAGGGAAGGGAGGGGGGGAAAGGAGGCGAAAAAGGGCAGCCCTGTTGGTCGTGTTTGGGCAACTCGGGACGTTTGCATGCGCTCAAGGCGTTTTTGGGTGTCTTGTTTGTGCTTTTACAGGTGAAGGGCTCGATAGCGGTATTGCGGTGCACTCAATAGAGCCGCCTCCCCTTCCCATTCAGCAGGGAGGTGATAGAAATCCTTCTCTCCTCACCAGTGAGCTCAGGCAAGTCCAACTCCCGAACTGTAGCAGATCGTTAGGGGGGGCATGCCTTCTCTGCCAAAGAAAGGCTTCTTCCGGGATGAAAGTCAGGGGCGATGCTTTTGATTATTTGAGAAGCGTTCGCGGGTGTGCTTCCGCGAATGCGAGAGCACACGGAAGAAAATAAAAGAAAATAAAAGAAAATAAAAGAAGGCGGTTTTTTTGCCGTCCTAGAGGCCTCTGTAGACTGCGGCTTGGGAGTTATTCTCCTAGGACGATAAATACTTCTTGAAGTGGTGCTCTCAGGCGCGAAATGGCTCAGCGTGTTTATGAGGGAACTCAAACAGCTGATGAGCGTCGTCTCATGCTGGAAGGCATTTATGGAAGGGAGCCGCGAAGCCTCACAGCCAAGGCAGCCACCGAAGCGCAGGAGCTCATGGATGCAATGAACGTAGGAGGGGAGAACTCGGGGAGGGAGTGTTTTTCCACGATAATAGGGGGGTGGTCTAATTGGGGCTTTGTGGTGGGAGTTTGGGGGAAAGGTGGGGGTGCATGCATGCAAAAGCATGCTTTGAAGAAAAGTCACTGCCTCTTTTTCCAGCAGGTATCTCGTTCATCTGTCTGTAAGTATGTTTGTGTGTGTGTATGATGATGTCTGCATGTATGGTTGTGCGTGTATGTCTGTATGTATGTTTGTGTGTGTGTATGATTATTTATTGGTGGTGTGTGTGTATGTCTGTCTGTATGTGTGTTTGTGTGTGTGTATGATTGCTTATTGGTTGTGTGTGTGTATGTATGTCTCCATGTGTGTTTGTGTGTGTGTATGTCTATATGTATGTTTGTGTGCATGTCTGTATATTGGTTGTGTGCGTGTATGACCGTATTTTGGTTGTCTGTCTGTATGTTTGTGTGTGTGTATGATGTTTATGTTTATGATATTTATGTGTATAATATTTATGTTTATACTTTTTATGTGTATATCTGTCTGTATGTATGCTTGTAAATACATGTAAGGCCATCTGTCTATCTGTCTCTCTATGTGGCGTTGGTCTCGGGTGCCTGCTATGTGCCTTTTGCAGCTGTTGCAGCGTCTTTCAGACTTTGCTGCCTTAGTGCATGTCACGGAGGTTCAAGCGATTCGCATGCAGCTCAGGGTGTCTGCTGTGCATGCATTTCAAGAGGCGCGTTACTCGGACGCTGCTCTCCAGGTAGTTCGTAGTCTCAATCTACCACAAGAAAGCCACAGTTGCAGTTGGAAAGCTGCAGTCTACGCAGAGACGATAGGCGCACCCTGCAGAGGCCTGTGAGGCGATGGCGAGGCTGCATGTTTCCGTAAAGGGCTTTTGCGAGCCGTAAGAACCGTAGCCATGCGCTGCATTTTTTGCGATAAGGCACTGTATTCTTACCTACTCGCCAAAAAGTATTACATCATCCGTGGGAAGGAGCCACTTCAGGGCGAAATGGTGCGTTTCAGCGGGAAAGAAAGGGGGAGGAAAGATGGCACAGGGGAATTCTTGGGATGGTTTTTTGGATCGCCAGCTTAGAGAGGTGTTGAGGTGTGTGGGTGTCTGTTTGTCTGTCTGTTTTCTGAGTGCTGCTTGTGTGTGGCTGTGTGCCTATCTGGGTGTCTGTGTGTTTGCCTGTCTGTCTATACGTACATACATACATACATTAAATATAAACATAAATAAATACGCATATATACATATATATATACATATATTTATAGTGGAAATGTGTGCCAGCCTTGCTTTATCGTACAGAAGAACATGTTGTTCGAGGCGCAGAGAGCGCGTTGTTTTTCCGAGGGTGATGAATAGAAAAAGTCGCTTTTGGCAAACTGCGAGTGATGGTGCGACAGGTTCCGGAGCTGCTTGTGCTGGCCAAGTGCTGCGGCGTAGTTGGATCAGTAGGAGAGGGTCGTGTGTACTTAGACGAGCTGCGGCTTCTTGTCGAGAACTCCCTCAAAGCAAGAGAGGGGCAGCTGCAAGGGAAAGCCTCCGCAGGAAAGGCAGCAGCAGCATCACCCGCCTCCCCCACACGCAGCACTGTGAGTTTCTGCTTTCAGCATGAGGCCTCTCTCTGCCCACGAAAGACTGCGGAAGCGCCAACACGCGTAGACGGCGCATTCGAGACACGCACTCTGAACTCAAGAAAAGACTTCTTTCTTAATAGGAAGCGGTCTGTGCATGCGTGTTCTTAGGGTCCTTGCATATCCTGCGAGCCGCATGTCTTGGCATCGATCGTGTGCTCCGTAGCGGAGTTATGCGCGCTTTATCGCCTTCCGGAGCTAGCCACCATCTATTTTCAGCAGTATGGTGCTGGTGTTAGTGGTGGTGCTAGTGGTGGTGGTGCTAGTGCTAGTGGTGGTGGTGCTAGTGCTAGTGGTGCTAATGGTGGTGCTGCTGCTAGTGGTGCTGCTGCTAGTGGTGGTGCTGCTGCTAGTGGTGGTGGTGCTGCTGCTAGTGGTGGTGGTGGTGGTGGTGCTGATGCTTTGCTGCTGCTAGTGGTGCTGCTGCTAGTGGTGGTGCTGCTAGTGGTGGTGCTGCTAGTGCTAGTGGTACTGCTGCTGATGCTTTGCTGCTGCTAGTGCTGACGGTGCTGCTTCTGCTGCTGCTAGTGCTGACGGTGCTGCTTCTGCTGCTCCTAGTGGTGGTGCTGATGCTTTGCTGCTGCTAGTGCTGACGGTGCTGATGCTTTGCTGCTGCTAGTGCTAGTGGTGCTGATGCTTTGCTGCTGCTAGTGCTGACGGTGCTGATGCTTTGCTGCTGCTAGTGCTAGTGGTGCTGATGCTTCTGCTGCTGCTAGTGGTGCTGATGCTTCTGCTGCTGCTAGTGCTAGTGGTGCTGATGCTTCTGCTGCTGCTAGTGCTAGTGGTGCTGATGCTTCTGCTGTTGCTAGTGCTGACGGTGCTGATGCTTTGCTGCCCCTTTAATCCCCACAGAATTTGAGTGCTCCTGGTTTGTTTTGAAGATCTTCTGCGTTCGCTGTTTGCCGCAAAAGGCCTTCAAAACAAAGCCAGCGGCAGCAGCAGCAAGGCACGATGCGAGTGGTGGCGTGTGTCGTTTTTTTGCTGTTGCGCAGCTACGTTGGCTTGTCTCGGCTAATTTACGCAAACGATCCCCTCGCGGTGTCTGATGCGCTTAGCCTGGCTGCCTTGCATCTCTTCCGCTCTCGGAGCTTCGCTGAGTGCGTGCCAATTCTGCAGGAAGTTCTCTCATTGAGGATCAAAGAGCTCGGAGATTATGATGCGCCTACTCCTCACCCCAGAGTTGCTGATGTCTACGCGAACTTAGGCCTGGTCTTCCGCCTGCTGGGTAGCAAGTCGTTCACTTTCCAGCCCCTTTCTTTTGCCTAAGCCTTTTGCAAAACACAACGCATGCACACGCGCGAACGCAGCTCTCCGCAGCGCAAAAATCGCAAACGTCGCCTCCCGCATCTGCGCAGAGCACCACGCAGGCAGGCAGGCAGGCAGACTTAGCAGCACCTCTCACGACAGAAGACAGTTTTCTCCACAAAACATCCAAATGCTCTCCGCGTTATGTGCTGCAGGGAGGCCTGCTGATGCGTTTCCGAATCTAATCATTGCTCTAGACATGCGCATGCGGATCCATCAAATTCGAGACTGCGAACCCGTCCAGGTTAGGCTTTGCCTCGAGCTTCTTCGAGAAGCTCACTCACTGACAGGCAGTCAGTTTCCCACGCCAAGCCTGCACATGCACACATCTGTCTGTCTTTTTGTTTCACGTTTTTTCTCTCTTTCTTTCTTTCTTCTTCTCTTTCTCTCTGTCTCTCTTTTCTCTTTCTCTCTGTCTCTCTTTTCTCTTTCTCTCTGTCTCTCTTTTCTCTCTCTGTGTCGGTCTCTCTCTTTTCTCTCTGTCTCTCTCTTTTTTCTCTCTGTCTCTTTCTTTCTTTTTCTCGGAAAATCATTGCATTGGCGCTACCATCAATGCGGCGCTGGGGTGTACTTCGAGAAGGGGGAGCGCTCAGAGTTTGCGGCTGCCTTCAGGATCTGGTGCTGGCACTCGGATGCGTTCAGCACCAGGGCGGCCGTCTGCGGGAGGCTCTTGACGCGTATCGAGAAGTATTTGCCTTCCGCAGCAAGGCTTTTGGCGTGAAGCACCCTGACACTGTGACGGTTCGCCAGCTGCTAACCCTGGTAAGTCTTGCAACAGCTAAAAAGCCTCCTCCTGAAGAAGAGGGAAAAAGGAAGGGGGGGAGGAGCCGTGCGAATCGAATCGCGTGCGAAGATCGAGATTGCGGGTGGCATGTCTTTTTGAGCGTTTCTGAGCGGCCTGTTGGTAGACAGGCCTTGGTGACTGCTTGCCGCACATGCGCTGTGAAGGCGTTCAAATGCATGCAAACTGAGTACAACAAAAAATGCTGGGCAGCGGCACTGTAGAGCTAGAGGCGTTGAGAAATCGGTGATCAGGAAGAAACACGTAGGCGTGCAACTTGTGTGGAATATTTGGTGTTCTGATGGCGGGCAGCTGGAGGCGGATCTCAACAAAGCCGTGGATCGAAAAGACGCCAAGCTGCTAGAAGAGGGCAAGGGCTTGTTCCCTCTATGGGATGCAGAGGCAACAAGACGGCGAGAGCTGCGAGAAATGAGGGAACTCCCAGCGGCCTTTCGACACGAGTTCGCTCCCTCCCTGGAAGCCTTCAAGCGAAAGCAGTCTGGCAAGGGTAGGCTCTTCTGGAGAAAAGCAAAGGATTGAAAGTAGGGGTAGGCAGGAGTACAGGCCAGTGCAAATCGAGGGGGGCAAGGGTTGTGGCTGTTTTTCGAGGAGGCGACAAGTTTAGATGCGCTGTTGCATGCGCAACGAAAGTCTTAACCGACAGCGCTCTCAGACAGAGAGAGAGAGAGCCAAGCCGAGCTATATGTACCCAACTATTCAAATCGAAAAAGGTCGATGCTCTTCTGCTTTGACGCCAGAGACTCTGGCGAGATGCACGTGCTTTCCCTCATCGCAACAAATTCCTCAACGCATGGAGTTCTAGAGCGCTGCTGTCCAGCATTAGTGCTGGGTTGCTTTTTGCGCGGGGGGGGGCTGCAATATGTAAATATATCTCAATACACATAAATATGTATACATGTATAGAAATCTACATGCACATCACCATGTGTATCTACACATACTGTGCATGCTGTAATATGTAAGGATATCTCGATACATATACATATGCATACATGTGTAGATATCTCTATACATATCTCCACATGTGCATACATATAATGTGCATTTATGTATATTCCATGGATCTCTATGAATGCGTATACCTATTTATATATGCATATATGTATCTACACCTACAAAAACATACATTTAAATACATATACATATACATATGTATATATATCTATTTATATGTATTTAAATGTATGTTTGTGTGTGTGTTTGGGTATTAAAGGCTTCATTTACAACAAGAATGTAGGGCCCTTTCGGTCTGTCGCTCGCACGCGTGCGCTGTATGGCGACGAGTGGCGAACTCTGATGGTTCCTTCTTGCGCGATTTTGCCGTATCTGTCCGTTGAAATATCAGGTGAGGCAGGCATGCCTTGATTTGAGCGCTTCGGGAGGGGTTGATCTTGTAGGGGGGCGGGGAAAACTTCTCTTAGCCTTTAATAGCGCAGCAACTTGCCGCGTTGATGGAGGCTGCCGTCCCTGCTGTGCAGCCTTCGAGTTGCTGCCTGCTGGTGGATCCCCCGACCACATGGCGTTGTCGTTGCAGCAGAGAGGCTGCATATATATATATGTGCACGCATGTATGCATGCGCCTTTCTAGTGCGCGTCTTGCAGCTTCTTTGCCTGTTGCCGGAACTGTTCGCACAGGACCCGATACACTGGAGTTGGCTGCGGCGTATGAGTTTCAAGACTCGATATCGCTAGACAGACCAAAGCTACCCATTGCAAACGTTCCTGCCATGCAGCATGGCGTGGTGCGTCTGGTTGATGGGCAGCCGCAGATGCAGCTCAACCCGGAAGTTGGCGAGCTGCTGGCTAGCTGGGGTCTGGAAGCGCCTGTCGTGACACCCGATGGCGACGTGGTGTCTACGGAGAAGCGTCTGCAGTCCGGCGTCAGCGTATTCATTCCACTAGTAGACGAGAAAACGGGAGATCCCATCATTGGCTTTCACGGCAAGCCCCTAATGGTGCCAAATCCTGCAGTTTTTCATGGAGTAGTTCTTCCCGAACTCATCAAGCGCGAGACGGAGAAGGGCAAGGCTCCCCGTATCCACCCGTCGCTAGCAAAAGGTAAAGTGCAACGCGAAGATGAAGGGATACGCAAGAGCCAGGGAGGGAAGGGCAGATAGATAGAGGGAGGGAAGGGCAGATAGACAGAGGGAGGGAAGGGTAGAGAGAAGGAGGGATTGATGGATAGAGGGAGGGAAGAATAAATAGATAGAAGGAGGGAAGAATAAATAGAGGGAAGAATAAATAGATAGAGGGAGGGAAGAATAGATAGAGGGAAGAATAAATAGATAGAGGGAAGAATAAATAGATAGAGGGAGGGAAGAATAGATAGAGGGAAGAATAAATAGATAGAGGGAAGGGTAGATAGAAGGAGGGATTGATGGATAGAGGGAAGAATAAATAGATAGAGGGAAGGGTACATAGAAGGAGGGAAGAATAAATAGATAGAGGGAAGAATAGATAGAGGGAAGAATAAATAGATAGAGGGAGGGGTAGATAGAAGGAGGGAAGGGTAGATAGAGGGAGGGAAGAATAAATAGATAGAAGGAGGGAAGAATAAATAGATAGAGGGAAGAATAAATAGATAGAGGGAGGGAAGAATAAATAGATAGAAGGAAGAATAAATTGATAGAGGGAAGAATAAATAGATAGAAGGAGGGAAGAATAAATAGATAGAGGGAAGAATAAATAGATAGAAGGAGGGAAGAATAAATAGATAGAGGGAAGAATAAATAGATAGAAGGAGGGAAGAATAAATAGATAGAGGGAAGAATAAATAGATAGAAGGAGGGAAGAACAGATAGAAGGAGGGATTGATGGCAGTGTGGATGCGAAGCGGCAGCAAAAGGTTTGCGATCTTATGTGTTGGATGCAGGCAGTATCATGACGGTAGGGGGGATTCAAATAGGGAAGCTTTCTACAGGCGCGAGGGGGAAAAGCTTTCAGCCTTCTTCTCTCCCAGGAAATGCTCGAATCTCAGGCAAGCCTCCTGACTCCTACGACGTGGTAGTGGTAGAGCGAGCACGTTGTGGGGAGGGTCGATGCAGGCAAAGTTTCTTTTTGCCTTTTAAGAGGTTTTGTTGAAGGCAAGAGCTTCGAACGTGGAGTTTGTGCGCTGCATGGAGGCTTGCTTCACCTTGCGCGGCTGATGGGGATACCCTCTGGCTCAAAGTGAAGACACAACGCACCACGATCAGAGAGGAGCACGTAGATTCAGAAGAATTTTTGTGGGGGTGTCTGTGTGCAGTAGGCGTTGGAGGCAACGTCAAGGGGCCTCCCCCCCCAGGCAGTGCAAAGCCGACGGTGAAGATTCAGATCGTCGCTAAACCTAGTGCTGCGCTGCCTGCTGAACCCTCGTCCAGCAGCAGCAGCAGCAGCAAAGATCGCGTTGTTGTTCGCTCTACAGCCAGCAAAGACACGGAGATGCAGGACGAAAAGCGCAGAGAAGAGGAAAAGCCTCAGCAGAAGCCTCCTTCGCACATGCAAGACGACACAGCTAACACCTCCCCCCCCGAACTCTCCCGACGGTATTTCGCCTCTTCCGGAAGCCTCCCCAAGGCTATTTGCTATTCTGCCGCGCATCTTAGGCCGCGCACGTCTGTACTTGCTGCTGCTGCTGCTGCTGCTGCGCCGACTGACCAATTTGTTCCTTCGGAGGAAGCGGCGGCAGGCTTTGGGGCAGAAGGAGAGGCAGTTGCTGCCTCTTTCGCGCCGTCAAAAGCGCGAGCAAGACGAGCCGTGCAAGGTACAGTGGTGATGCCCTTAGGGACGGCAGGTTCCGCCAGAAAAACGCTGCCACAGAAAAGAGAACTACGCGTCGACAAACCTCCAGAGGCATCTGCAGCAGCAAGAGGGGCTGCTGCATTGCCACTGCGAGGCGCTACCCGGCCTGTGGACGCTGCCGACTTCCGAGAAATGCTGCTACAGAAGCAGCAGGAGCAGCTCCTTCTGACGCTGAATGACACCCAGTCAACACCTCGTGCCTTGCTGCGCCAGGAGCAGCAAAAGCAGCAGCAAAAGCAAAAGCAGGAGGAGCAAAATCAACACTCGGGCTCCCCTGCGCGGATGAGAAAACAGCTGGCCTTGCCTGCAGTAGGGGAGCTGTTAGGGCTAGTCAAGCAGCTTCAACAGCGGAAGCCTCTCGGTGGGAATGATGGGAACAGTCATGATAGTACTCCTGGTAATAGCAGGAGTAGCAGCAGGAGCAGCAGCAGCAGCTCCGAAGCGCAGCGATCTGGTATGCAGAGCGACACCCACGAGGATCGAATGAGGGGAACGCAACCTGCACTGCGAATCCATGCGGCCGACTCCACAGCAGCAAGGAGGCGTATTCGCATGCAAGGAGTCGCAGCAGCACCTTCTTCGCTAGTGACCAGCAACAGCAACAGCAACAGCAATAGCAACAGCAACAGTAGTAGCAGCAGTAGTAGCAGCAACAGCAGCAGCAACAGCAGCAGCACCTCCTGCATTAGCACGGCTAGGACTGGCAGCAGCATGGAAGTCACGCCTGCCTTGGACGCGCGTCAACATACGTTTGATGAGCAGCAGCTACTGCGGCGATGGCAGCAGCAGCAGCAGCAGCAGCAGCAGCAGCAGCAGAAGCGAAAGGGCACGCAACGCAAGACTCCCAGGTGTGGCGTCTCCAGATGCAACGACAGCAGCACCAGACGAAGAGGACCCCTAGCGACCCTTAGGCCGAGTCGAAGCAACAGCAGCAACAGCAGCGATAGCAGCAATAGCAGCGATAGCAGCTACAGCAGTGACTTCACCATCAGCAGCGCATCCAGCGCAGAAGAGGGGCCTGAGGTGTCTCTCCGCAAGGCGCCCACTACTGGCAGCGGTGCTTCTCGGGGAGGAGGAGGCTTTCCCTTGGTATCGTTTCCAGGGGAGCGGGCTCAACGCACACCAGGGGAACAGTTCACGATACAGACAAAGTGTGGGGAACCCCTCGTGGCAGAAGCGGCAGCAGCTCCCTCCTTAGGAGCTTTTCTGGACGCAGACATCGCCAGCGAAGTCGAAGGTGCAGAGGCTGAACTTCGCGCGCCTGAAGAGCCAGAAGAAAGACGCACAGCAGTCGTTGAGATTGCGGAGGCAGCAAAAGATCACAGCAGCAGCGGCAAGGAAAGCGGAGTGGCTGCCTATGGCGAGTTGCGGCAGCTAGGTTCCATGATTGTGGAGCACCTTTCCGAAGGCGAGAATTCGTACCGCGAAGCGGGAGCAGAGACGGACCAGGGGGGGGGCCTCTCTTCAGCCGAGTCGATTGAGGTTGAGCTTAGTGACGTGTGCAGCAACCCTCCAAGCCTCACTACTTCTCCTGCAATTCGTTTTCCTCCGTCACCCCGCCAGACTTTCTTGCGCCCTCCAGATGCAGCCTCGGGATGGAAGCGACGTGCTCCTCGGAGAGGTTCCTGCTCCAGAAGTTCTCTCCGTAGCAGGCCGATTTTCGCCTGTTCCTCGCCTAGCGGCTGCAGCGAGAGCGGCTCCGACGAGTGCTGGTAGTCGTAGATCGCATTGGAAGGAATAGCTGGGAGGCTAGGAGGGAGATTTCGGTGTCACAGGGAGCCCAGGGGAGCACTTCGAGGGGTTCCCTCCTCGTTTTTGCGGGAGAAATCGCGGCTTTTTTGCACGGCTGCGAAGGGGGACGCCTGCGAGAAGACTGCTGCTAAAGGCGGTGCAGCGCCTTCTCGCAGGTATGTGTATGGTTTGCAGCATTGGCTTTCCAAAAAGCGCCGAACTGCTTTTGCACCTTATCGCTTCTTAAACGCTAAAGCGAATAATCCCGCTCTAAGCCCAAAGCCTTTTCTCGAAGAAGTCGGGAAAGGCAGCGAAAAGCTTCCGACGCCCCTCCTTTGAAAGGCACTCCTCAGCGGCGCCTGCTACACCTCTACAGCCGTCGGAAACAAAGACCACGTGAATGGCACTCTCAGCGATCTGCCACTCCCACCTGCTCGGAAGGGCAGGAAGAACAATTGATCCTTTTAGCCTGCGAGGAAAGCTCCTGGAGGCGCTTTAGAGCAGGCTTCCTTCCACGGAGTTCCCCCGCGCATCCAGCGAGGATGCACGATTCTAATGCACCCATGCAACTGAGGAAGCCAATTGGGCTGCCGGTGAAGTGTCAAGACGAAAAAACGGCCAGGCATGCAGCTAAAGAGGCATGCACTCGTTCAGGCCCTTCAGCTTAGTAGTACCTCTTTCCTGCGCCCTCTCACACCCGCTTCAGCCTCGACAGACTGCAAAACGCCCTCTAGTCCAGTTTTGTATTGCCTCCGTAGTGAATTTCTCGTCGCACAACCCCTCTTGTATTTTTCTCTAAGGGGAGAGGGAGGCACATACTGTGTCTGCCCGTAGTCTAGTACACGCTAAAGAGATAGCTAAAGGTATCCCTGTACGAAGAGTTCCTTGCCCCGCTGCCTGCCTTCAGTCCGCATGTGCCTGGATTGCTTGCGGCGAGAGAGCACCAAACAACTCGCAGGCGCGAATCCCGCATTCCGCTGCACTTTGTACAAAATTCAGAGCACTGGCTCGCAAAGTCTGCAGTCTTGAAAAAGATGCCACTAACCACCCGTACAGGGAGCAGCCAGTCCCACCAATCCACCGCTAAGTAGTGCTCAAGCAGGCAGACCTAATGTATTTCAGACTGCCAGAAGCACCTTCTGTGCCCCTGCGATTCCTGTATTATGTGAGAAGATCAAATCCTCTATTGGCTCTGGGTGGTCTAAAAGGAGCTTCGGAGGTCCTGCCTCTGCAGCCTCGAAGATTATTTCTCTGAAAGGACACGGAATGCGGGAAAATGCACGGCAGTGCATGCGTTTGGCTTCCCTTTTCTGTGTGCGATTGATTGGTTCGGCGGATCCTTTGCAAAACGGGGCCTCTCTAGACACCCTCCGGCGGCAAGAGCACATGCAGACGCCCTCGAAGCGCAGAGCAACAGGCGCACTGTCCCTAAGAAACAGCAGGCTCACTCGCCGTGGAAGTTTGTGCTACATAGCGAGGGGGGAGGCATGGGCAAAGGCAGCCGCCACATCGGCGGAGCTAAAAGTCTGTGAGGGGCCCTTCCAGAGGGGCAGGGGAACGCCTGTGAGAGCTTGAAGGTGCTTATGCTTGCTACTTTGTGTTTGATGATTGTTTCACAGAGTAGCATCGGCCGAAACAGAACATGACCACCGGCAGAGTGGCGCAGATCCGCGCACCCTCGAGAAGCCCAGAAAGATCCCTGTTAGGCTAACTGGATCGTGCTTTCGCTTCTACGTGGATTTCCCCATGAGTCTAATGCGCCGAAGACACTGAAAACAAACCCCCTGTTCCTCCAGGAAGCGCCTTTTATGCAGAGGAGCGCCCCCTGAGGACGCAGCAGTCGGTGGACTGAAGACCACCCCTACCCTCTGTTTGTGTGTGGAGGGAAACTCTCCCCAGAGAAGGCCAAGCAGAAGGCCCTTTTATTAGTTCTTTTGTTTAAACGGCATTTCTTCCAAAAGAGGTTCTGCTGCAGGCGCTGCGTCAATAGTGGTGCGTGTGCAGGGCAGTAGTAGAGGCATTGAGACCAGACGCTTTGACCTCAGGGGGTACCACCACTGGCGCTTGTCGTCTCTGCAGTGGTGGCAAGAGGCAGCTTTTTTCGTCCTCCATTTCAAGGCCTTTCTCCGTAGCACCTTTCGCTCTTTTTTCTGTCACCATGCGGGCTTTTCCCAGCGCGCTTGCAAGAGGAACAAGCCGTTTGTCAGCCTCCACCGCACCGGCCTTTCTGCGCCTTCCTTTTCCTTGGTTTCCTCGCGCTTCGCCCTCCCAGCGCGACTTTCAGCGGCGCATGCCTTAAGATCTCGACGTGCAGAAGCGCTGCTCACGAGTCTTCCACGCAAGGCTCCTTGGGAAACCCTCCACCCTGCGGAGGGACCCCTGCAGACCACTGGTGCTGGTGCTGCAGCCTTCAACCCCTCGATCCGGTGCAGAGACGTCCCCTAAGGCGCCTCTCCGGGGAATGAACCCGTGCAATGGGGGGGAAGGGGGCCCCTATAGCGGAACCGCCAGGGGCCCCTGCAGCCTCCTGCAGCGGCCACAGTGAACAGAGGGGCAGCAGTGTCAGGAGTTTTGGTGAACGAGCAGGATGCCATCTGCTCCTGAAGTCTCGTGGACTGACGCACCTGCCTCCTCAAGACGCGTCCTCTGAGCAGCAGAGCCTTAAGCAACACCAGGAGTCGCTGCACATATGCCCTGCACTCCAGCAACATCCCCAGCTGGCAGTCCCTCTACTCGCCGCAAAAAGAAGGTGCTCCTACCTTGAAAGCCTCCGCAATCTCATTCGAAAGCCTCGAAAAGATGGCGCCTCTATTCCAGAGAAACACACTCTCGCATCAAGCGCCGCAGACGAGGGGCCTCCAGGAGCCTTCGAGAGGATTCACATTCCCCCCGCACTTGAGGGCTTCTTGGAGCCTTTGGACCCGCATCCAGTGGAAGATAGCAGCAGCAACAGCAGCAGCAGCAGCAGCAGCAGCAACGGCAGCAGCAGAGGCACCTTCGTGCAAAGGCTGCCTTGGATATCGTCGTCTCCGAATCAGCGGCGACATACCCCCAGTTCCAGTAATAGCAGCCTGCCGCTGCGCCTTTCTTCCCTTGAATCCTCTCCTCCTGAACTCGACGCTCCGAGATCCTCTTGTGCGGATTCCGACACTACTGACGCCCATGAGAAGCAGCAGCAGCAGCAGCAGCAGCGAGACGGGCTCTTCATGCGCGTCGCTCTGCATGCGCTGCCTCCTAAAGGCCCCAAAGGAGGCATCCCCAAGAAAAAGGCAGGAGGCGCTGCAGCTGGGTGGACAGCACCCCAGCCACTGGCGGCACCTAAGGACGAAGATGTACTAGGACCCTCCACAGGCACAGTTCAGCTGAAGCAAGGAATATTGAAAAAATCCTCGCCTCCTGCGCCTCCAACAGATAAGGGGAAAGCACCAGGGGCCTCTAAGGACGCTGCTGCTGCTGCTGCTCCTCCTAAGGACGCTGCTGCTGCTCCTCCTCCAAAGGACGCTTCTGCTGCTCCTCCTCCTCCTAAAGGTGCTGCTGCTGCTGCTGCTCCTCCTCCAAAGGATGCTTCTGCTGCTGCTCCTCCTCCAAAGGATGCTGCTGCTGCTGCAGCTCCTCCTCCAAAGGACGCTGCTGCTGCTGCTCCTCCTCCTCCTAAAGGTGCTGCTGCAGCTCCTCCTCCAAAGGATGCTGCTGCTGCTGCAGCTCCTCCTCCAAAGGATGCTGCTGCTGCTGCTCCTCCTCCTCCTAAAGACGCTGCTGCTGCTCCTCCTCCTCCTAAGGAGGCCCCTAAGGCTCCCTCCTTGCCAGCGAAAGCGCCGTCGGTGCCTCCGGCGCCTCCCAAGGGGCCTCCAAAGGAAGTTTCCAAAGACGTTCCTGCTGCTGCGAAGACAGAACCCCCTAAAGAGGCTCCTAAAGAGGCTGTCAAGCAAGCGCCCAAAGAAGCTCTTTCCAAGGAACCTGCTAAGGAAGCTCCTCAAAGCCCTTCTAAGGAGGCTCCCAAGGAAGGGCCCCCTAAAGAGGGGCCCCCCAAAGAGGGGCTCGGTGCGGGAGCCTCGAAAGAGACGCCTCCAGGAGGCACGGCTGCCAAGGCTGCTGCGCCGAAGGCTGTGCATAAAATCGTGATTGGAGAGAAGGGCACGCGCGTCAAATCCCCTGAAGACATTGAAAAATCCGTAAAAAGCCGCTTAAAAGGGCATGAAGAGTCGGGGGGGGCTTGCGATGGGGTCCAGTCGGAGGCATTGAAGCGTTGCGTTCTGTGTGGTGTCTGCTGTGTGGCGCTTGCCTTTAGAAGCCTGGCCATATGTTTTTGACTCCCAAGGGGACCATTGCAACCATCCCCAAGTGTGCGCGTCCCATCAGCACGTCGCTGCTCTCGAAGGTGAGGGTTTGCCTTTAGACTTAGGGAGCGAAGAGTCAGTCAGTGCGTTGCGAAAGCAGGAAGTCACACTGCGTTCCGCGGCTCGCGTGAGCTCACGAGCAAGCTCAGACGGAGCAGGAGGATCTGGCGTTTGGCCTCCTGGACTGGGGGTTCGAAACGACTGTGTCTTCAGATAAAAAAGTGCAGGGCTGGCACAGAAATCGTTCCTGAAGTGGGATCAATCCCTGTGGTTGTTTTGTTGGACGCCGACAACAAGGAAGTCTGTACGCTGCCTTGGCAGGTGGTGAGAGCTTCGCGTTAAGCCCGCGTCGATTCTTGCCTTTTCCTGGGCATGCTGCATGCACGTAGGACGCATACAGCATGCATGCGTGCAGCATGATCTGCCTCTCTAGAGCCTTGCTTGCGGGCCCTAAGTTCGTGGCAAGCGTGCATGCATGAAAAAGGGGGAGCGAGGGGTGGGGAAACATCCGTTCTGAAGGGGGAGTTGGATGCGAAGCGGCGCTTTGCGGCGCGCGTCGAAAGGAAGCTCCTAGAGGCAGAGGGTGCAGCGTGGCTGTGGGTACTTGGCGTGGCAGGATCTTTCTTCGTTTTCGCTCGCACAAGCTTCTCTCTCCGTCTTAGCAGCCCGCAAGCTGGGACTGACGGCAAGGCAGCGGGAGGAAGAAAAGGCCCCCCCTCCCCTCAAGGATTGGCTTTCTGGCCAGGTGGGTGGGAGACTACTCGACGCCGTATGGGGAGAGCAAAGCGCATTTTTTGACGGGAAGGGGGGCTTTGCACGGGGGAAAGGAGGGAGAAGGCAGACCAAGCGTTTTGGCTCGCTCTGTTTCTGCAAGACGCGACGCCTCCTGCCACGCTCAAGCCCGTAAAGGCACGCTCCTCTGCGTTGGCGCGTCTACGCCTTGTTGGCTTCGGTGTCTGCCTGCGCATGCGTCAGGGCCTTGCCAAGTTTGGTCTTATGAAGTCTGCTGAAGGCATCGGGTGGGGTGCATCCACCAACGTGGGATCAACAGACTTGGCTAGTCTGGCTGCCGTTCTTGCCAAGGTACATGCAGCTTAGGGATAAAGGCGCAGAGCCCTACGGTTGAAGGCTTCGAGTTAGCAGTGACGCGCTCTCAGCCACAGTGGGTGTATCAAGTGTGCGGTACTTCGGATCATCAAGGCCCAAGAGTTTGAATGTATCAGCTTGTGACTTCGAGTGTGCATTGTTTGTGTGTCTGTGTGTGTATGTGTGTATTTGTGTGTGTATGTGTATTTGTGTGTGTATGTGTATTTGTGTGTGTATGTGTATTTGTGTGTGTATGTGTATTTGTGTGTGTGTCTGAATGTGTGTCTGTGTGTTTGTATGTGTGTTTTTGTGTATCTATATGTGTCTCTCTGTGCGTATGTGTATGTATGTCTTTGTGTGTATGTGTATGTGTGTCTCTGTGCGTACGTGTATGTATGTCTCTCTCTCTGCCTGTGTGTTGGTGTCATCTGCTTCGAGCCAGGCCTCTGCTGCAAAAGAGCCGGAAGCGGTAGGTTCCAGCTGTCTTTGTCGCGGCTGTTTTCGGCGTTGCATCCGCTACTGCAGCCAGTAAGAGGCCTCTGTAGCGCGCTTGCTGCTGCTTGTCGACTGCAGAAAGCGAAGCCAAAGGAGGAAGCGAAGAAGGAAGCTCCCAAGAAGGGGCCCCCCAAGGCGGGGCCCCCAGGAAAAGGGCCTGGCGGAGGCAAGGGGCCCCCGAAGCCTCCTCCTGGTAAGCGTGTGGTCGCCTTAGCGTGGCTTCGCGTGCGGCTGCGCTTTCCTTTTGTTGCTGCTGCACGATCAGCACCGCTAAGGGCTGTGTAGGAGTCTCTCCTGCTGCACGATCAACATCGTTAAGGGCAGTGTAGGAGTCTCTCTTGCTGCACGATCAGCATCGCTAAGGGCAGTGTAGAAGTCTCTTCTGCCGCACGATCAGCACCGCTAAGGGCAGTGTAGGAGTCTCTCCTGCCGCACGATCAGCACCGCTAAGGGCAGTGTAGAAGTCTCTCCTGCTGCACGATCAGCACCGCTAATTGTGGGAGGCGCATGCAAAGCCCCCAACGCCACCACCACCAGCAGTGGAGCCGCGCGAAGCCGCATGCACAGGAGAGCGCCAAAAACGGCTCTTGACTATGAGGTGCATGCGTGAATTTTCGGGGCAGGCAAGAAGGGCCCTGGCGCGAAGAAGGCGGGGGGACTGAAGATCGGGAAAAAAGATGAAGGAAAGACCAAGCGTTTCTTCTGGGATCCCCTATTTGCAGACGATGTTCAGGGAACCCTCTTCCAGGTGCGTTCTTGGAAAACGAAAGCTCCTTTTTTTCCGTTTTGAAGAGCTTACTACTCTGGTTTCTGATCACAAGGACCTCTCTCTTGCGCTGTATGGGGAAGTGACACAAAGTCTTACGAAATCCTGGAGGGGCCTCGCAACCCCCCCAGCGGCAAACTGTCATGGTTCCTTGGATTTTCAGAAAAGAGAAGCTTTCCACGTCAAAAAGGAAGACGTGGAGGAGACGTTCGCCAAGCTTGCACCGAAGGCGAAGACAGAAGTCAAGAAGCCCAAAGTAGGCACTTTTCGAAGCCCTGCACGTCATCGGCTCGGCTCGAGGCTGCTGTAGGACGGAGGAGTTCAGAGTTGCTGCCGCAGAGGGGGATCAGATTCTACAGCGCTTGCGAATAACGCAAACGACAGAGATAGAGAGAGAATTTGTAGCAAGCGCTTTTGTGAAGTCCAACTTAAAGGCCAAGCTGGTTATTGCTCTCTGTATGCCTCACACTTGACGTGGCTGCTACAGGTCCTCCAGCTACTGCCTGATTCTAAGAGGGCGTACAACATGAACATCGCCCTTGCGAAATTCAGCAACTACTCGTATCAAGAGCTCAGGGAGGCCATTATAGATCTAAGCCCCAAGGTACCCGCGCAAACTGGCAGATTCGGGTAGACACACAATTCGTGGTTTCGTGGTGGAAGCGTGCAAGTGGCAGTCTCTTTTGTGGCGACCCCAACGGCAACCTTCTTCTCTTTAGGCTCGACTCACGCCATGCGCTTCCGTCCATTGCTTCTGAATCACACCGCAAAAGCTCCTCCATTTTCCTGCCTTTTTCTCCATTCTGCACCCACCCCTAGCTGTGTATCCATGCCGATATATATGCCTGTCCGTCTGTGTATTTGTGTCTGTTTGTGTCTGTCTTTCTTTCTGTCTGTCTTTCTGGCTGTTTATCTGTCTGTTTGTCTGTCGGTCTGTCTGTCTGTCTGTATGTATGTCTGTATGTATGTATATCTGTCTGTCTGTCTGTCTCAATTTACTTCCATACATTGAGCCGCAGTGCATTCCTATCCCTTGATGCCGCGCTGCCCCCTTCCCCCCATCCCTCTCTCCCTGCGTATCTTCTGTCTTGTTCTTCAAGACGTTAATGCGTCTGGGGCTTAGGGCCGTGATACGCATGCCTTCCATTTTGCGAGCTGTGGGCTCCGCAGATCCTGACGGTAGAAGCGACAGAGAGTCTCCTGAACTTCGTGCCAACTCCGGAAGAGACAGCCGTAATGAAGGAATATATCAGCTCCGGTGGGCTTGGCATCCCTATCATACACACAGCCTGACTACTTTCCTTCATGGAGCAAAAAGCTCGGTGCCACTGCTTGTTGCCGCTTTCATAGTTGGCTTTTTCATTCTCGCTTCCCTTGAACTGGAGGTGTGCAACCTTCCCCCCTTCTGTCCACTCTAATGCGCCTCTCTGGTGTAGCCTCACCACCATCCATCTCCCATTCGGTTTTTCCAACTCGACTGGCTGCACCTGGCTGCCTCTGCCTTCTCGTATTACCCTGTTATCTTTGGCGTATCGCTTTCGCTTTATTTGTGTCGTGCCGACCAGCTCGTATCGCCGTGTAATTTTCTGCCCCGTGGGTTATGCTCCTGTCCATATCTTAGCCTACCCTTTACCTTTTGTATGCGGGTTTTCCTTCCATTGGTTTTGGAGCTCATCGTGTTTTCTAGTGGATTCTTATGCCCCTAATGTAATCTTGCCTTCTCCTGCCTTCCTCTACGTGTGCACTCATTTTCCTTGTTGTAACTTTCTTCTCGTAGTCGTGAATATCTTCCTATCTCGCTTTTTCCCCTTTGCCCCCAGCTGTGTCCTTGAGCATCGGGCTGACATTTTGCCACCTCTCGATCTCTCTCGTCTGTGGCTTTGCATATCTCTGCTTCTAAGGTGGAGACTTGAAGCTGGTGGATCGTCCCGAGCAGTTTGTTGCTGCTATGATGGGCATTCCCCTAATGAGGCAGCGCCTGGACGCCCATCTCTTCGCCCTAAACTTTGCAGAGAACTACAAGGACGCTTACAACCCTGTTTCTGCATTGTCTGAGTCTTGTGACGCTGTAAGGTCATGCAAAAACCTCAAAAGCATACTCTTTGCCGTTCTGGAGCTCGGAAATATGCTGAATGAAGGAGACCCGCAGAGGGGTAACGCTGACGGCTTCAAGCCCACTACACTAGCGAAGCTCACCGAAGTCAGATCGACAACAAAACCAATAAGGACGCTCCTACAATACCTCTGTGATGTGAGCAATCATAATCCAAGCCTCATATCCGAAGTGTTCAATAGCGTAAACAGTCCTCACACATTCAAAGGGACAACATTCCTTTTCGGAGTATACAAACTTCTATAGGTGCAGGTATAAAAGTATTCATGCCTGTACAGTATTGTGCCTGGTGGTGTTTTTACATTCATGCGGCTGTACTCACATTTTATCCTGTTGCCCATAATTTCATGCCTGTTGCAATGCTTCCCTCAGGTGATTTGGGAACAAAATCCGAGCATTTTGGACATCTATAACGAGTTAAAGATATGCGAAAAGGGGCAGAAAGTAGACGTTGGAGCAATAGAGGGGAAAATAGTGGCACTTAAACAAGGCAAGCAGGACATGTACATAGCTGAATGTTTTGTTGGCATTTTCATTGCTGCTTGTCAACGACGTTTCGCTTTTATTCTATATCTGTATTGCTTTTCAATAAATGGCTTTATTGTTAGCTCTGTTAATTTTGTCGTATGACTATTATCTGCGAGTATGAAGAGCACCATCTGAAGATTATTCATGTAACTGGTTGCTCCACCGACGAAAAGCGTCTTCTTTTCTTGTCTGCTGGTATAATCAAACTACCGTACTTACTGACTTCTCCGCTGCTAACCTGGGTACTTTGATACAGTGCCAATACGCTGTCTGGCCTTCATCTTTCAGCATCTGAATACATACATGTCGTTTATTTTTATCAGATCCTTTATGAGCCTGTTGCTTATCGGTGTTTATCTCTTCTCATCAATTAGGCGTTGCAAAGGTTAAGAATACGGTGGAAGCCGCCAGAAAAGGAAATGAAGCTTCAGGAGTGCTGGGAGACAAAGATCCATTAGCGACGATTATGGACGAATTCGTCGAAGAGGCGCTTCCAAAGGTCACAGAACTCGAAAGATTCCTCAAGGAGGTAAAAGCGAGATGCCAAGAGTAAAGGAACTAGATTACTCACATAACCATGATCCCTCTACTATTAAAGCATTTGCTCACGAGAAATGCTGCATTGTAACAATCTTTGTATTACTATAATCCGGAGGGTGCACAAACTAAGGCGGATTGTTCCTTGCTTTTCTTGTAGTCACCCATGCCCCTGAGAGACTTTCCCATGTCTAAACTCTTTGGCATTTTCGCCCCCTTTCCTCTTGTTTGTTTCAGTCAATGGAAGACTTTAACGTAGCGGTGCGGTACTTGGGTTACCCCGAAAAAGACATGAAGAAAGTGAAACCCGACGAATTCTTCAAGCAAGTGGCTTCGTTCGTAAGAAACATCGAGGCTGCGAGGAAGGCAAAACAGGAACTTTTGGAGAGGGAAAGAAAAAAGGCAGAGGCAGCCTCTAAAAAGGCAGCAAAGGGAGGACTTTCAAAGAGATAGAGCGAGAAGTCAGACAGCAAACAGGTCAACTGCTCATGTTGTTGTGTGGGATACCGATGCTGCCTACACCGTAGGTCGTCCATGTAGCGTGTGCCTTTTTATTTTGCACTTTTTCTGCTGTAGATCTAACTTGGCTGGAAATTGATGTGACTTTTAATGTCCTGTCTGTTACAGTTGAACGCAAAATTCTCTACTCTCCAACCTAGTAGAAGGGATACAAAGACCTTGATTTTTTTCTGCCCCTACAACAGAGTAGGGTGTACAATGGCTCCAGTGATTGGCTCGACCTGAAGCGGGGATATACGATACAATTTAAAACCAAGTAGAGACCATTCATGCCTTTTATCAGTATGAATCCGCATACCGGGCCGTGTGGAACGGAAGGCTTCAGCGCCGCCCGCTTTTCCTTCTTGGGCCAGTAGGCGCAACAATCGTGCTCCTAAAGCATGTGTTTGGTTGCTGTTTCATCACTATAATCACCTCCTTAAGTGTAATTAACGTACAAACTTTTCTTTCCGCGCCTGGTCGAAAGCCCCGAAGTAATGCATTGATTCGCAAGGGCTGATGGAATGCAGCCATACATAATGATGCAAAATGTTTTATAACACCAAACAAAAAAATTAGAGCTTCATGTGGTGGGAAGCAAAGAGTAGCGTACCCCCGATACCCGCGCCCCCAGCAAGTGCCGTTAGCTTGAAGAATCCATGACTCTGGGCAGGTTGCTGTATAGTCACGAGCGTATGAGGGCCCTGGGCAACTTTAGAACAATATTGTTTTAGTGAATCATTGATTGGTATTGATAGGCAAGGTGGCATGTTTTACCTACAGGTACAACACGGGTTTCCTCTTCTCGGAATCCAGCCGCTCATCTAGGGAAGACATTTCTTCGACGTTATCACTGATGAAACAGGTCTTCTAGTGGGTAAACAGCTTTGTTCCAAAACATTTTACTTGGATATTTCCTGGACCTGTTTTAGTGGCATGCTTATTAAGTAAATATTCATGGAGAGCAAGTGGCAAAGGTAGCTTACTATTTCTTCAGTGGTCGGTAGCTCATCAAATCCAAGGGCAAATTCCTTTGCAATGTCTTCACTCGGTGATTAGCTTTCAACATATATTCTAGGTGGTATAGCGTAGAATACCTGTGATGGTTTCTCCCATTTTTACTGAAACACATGGGTGGTCAAATGTGCCATGAGCACTGTGCAATTTCGGGATAGTTGAAATGACGCGTACTGGCCGTGCTCTTCGCTGTGAATGGATTTATGCGGATACAGAATGCGGAGTTAAACGCAGAAATCCAAACAAGGGCAAGGCATAGGGCCTTATCCCTGGTTGAGCTCTTCTTCATTTCACCATGAAAGTGGTTCAGTGGAAGGAGGTATCTGGTAGGAAGCGCGAGCAAGGCCATGCACAAAGCATCCTTGCCAATTGCAAACAGTTATGATGACGCTTCCAAGATTTTTACTTGAAGTCAAAAGGGATCATGACGGAGCAATGAAAAGCATTCTTCATCGAAACATGCCTATTCACAGCAGTGTCTGATCACTTTATCCGGTCGTTTGGGTGCTACTGGCACAGCGTCACTAGATTCAGCCAGTTATCTCTCTTTACATAAATCCGTTACTTGAATTCAAAGCTTCTTGTCACAGTTAGCGCGGTGTAAAGTGTCTTCGTTGAACAGAGCGTCATACTCTGTCTTCACTCCTCCCAACAGCGAGTGACCGAAAGTTACACCCTCAACAGCTATGCCACGGATTCTGAGCTCATCACAGTAAAAAGCGTACTTTTCTTCTACTTTAAAGTTCTGTTGCGTTTCTGGAGTATGCTATAGAATGTAAAGTACTCAATATCATTTTCAACCTCGGATGCGCGTACTATTGCAAAAAACGGGAGCTGCTGTACAACGCGCCCTGTAGCCCCTTTTTTTCTTGATTTTTACACGTCCGTTTATATATACATATAAGGGAACGGGTTTTGGAGAACCAACAAGGGAATAACTCTTCCTTCATTTGTCCAGCTTCTTCTATGCTGCTGCAGGCGGGAGCCACGAGATGATAGCAGATCGGTACTCACTCTGAACTCTGAGTTCATCGCAGTCGCAAGTTGCCTCGAATAACGCTTTCAGCACCCAGTCTGTGCTAAAAACACAGGGAAACCCTGAGCACGCTTTTTTTGGGCATGGTTTCTCGTAGTGCTGTCGAGCCACGATTTAGCTGCGGTCTGTCAACGAACATCCACACGCACACACACACACAGTAGCAGCTAAGCAGGCTCTGCAGCTACGACATTGCATTTCTACCCGAAGCTCCAGAATGCTTTTCTCGATGTGTACTTCCCTCAAGACCTTGATATGTAGCAGCTGCACTAGGGGAGGATAGAAGAGGGAAGGCATTTGCCTCTACACCCAGAAAGCCACGAAGTTTCAGCGACGTTTGAACTTTATCAGCGTCCTCCCGAGTTTGATATGCTTTGGCAGGGAACTTATAAACCTGCGAATGTAACCCAATACTGATATAACGGTAAGCTAGCAATAGATACCCTTTCTACCCCTGCGTGTGTTTGTAAAGCTAGATGAAGAACTCTCGAAGACTAAAATCACCTGACACTCTTCGAGTAAAAGACAAAATAGCCGCAATAATCATAGAATGTTCTAACAGTTCCCAGTGTGGCAAACTGGCGAAAGTGAGGGGGTCAGCTCAGCTACGTTCATTGTCCTGCGCGGGCCTCCCTAGTACTCAAACAAAAAAGGGAACTTGTCGAGTTTTTGCCTAGTTGTGCCTTCTTTAAAATTATCATTCTTTGCATGACATGTTTGTTTGTCCTTTCTGTAAAGTCAATGGTTGTGTTTATTCTGTCCTGGAAGTGAGTTGAGAGTAGACAACTGCCGGAAGGGCACGAGCCTCGACTGGAATACTGCCCCTTTGTTGAGAGGCTGAAAAGAGACCTAAGGCATAGTCTCCTTACTTGTTACACATTGATCCACAAGAAAAACAAATCCAATGAAGGAAGGAAACATACAGGGCTTCCACGTTTGCTTATGCACACAAAACGATTTGACAACAAGTCCGAGATGCAAAGGCCAGAAAATTCAAATGTTGAGAAGGCGGCTGCTACTAATGCCGCTAATTCAATTGCTGCATCGAAGATGTGTCTGATGCGAGAGGAGTTGCTGGAACACATGCTTTCACCTTGATGCGTTACACTGATTACAGAATCTGGTGGTGCTGCGAGGAATTTGCATTGTTTGGCCGCCGTTTTTTCATACGAGAACCCTTGGAACCATTGTGGCTGCAATCTCTCCTACAGTAATCAGTCACACCAGTCCAAGGCAGCTCATAGCAATCACATTTAGAGCAGCAGAAAAAATTTGCTTTCTATAACCATCCATGAGGCCTCAAAGAGGCTTGTGCACACCAAAGCAGCGGCTGAGGCAAAAAGGAATCTCTTGCAGAACATAAGGTGCAAACAAGTGGCTCGGGCGGGTAGAGCTGTTTAAACGCAGTAAGTTTTATGCGCTGCTGACGAGGACGCAAGGAACGGGCACGAAAAGCTGGGGCATGTGGAGCAGCACCGCTGCTGCGAAGCGGTATTGGTGTTTCAATAATCTTCGGATAGTCCCAGCTACCATCCATAAGCCTGCTTATCGAACCAAAAACACGAAACTTACAAAACGATAACGGCGTGATTTTATCTGGTTGCTTAGTCTAGATGGTGTTTGTCTGCTGTTGGTCCCATTCACAGTGACGACAGTGCTGCATAGCTGTTTTTTGAAATGTCTGTTGCAACAGCTTTGCGTTGGTTTTAAGATGTTTGAAATGTTGCAGCAAACTTGGACACGACTTTTACTGTTCTTGTCTATCAATATGCCTCTCACAAATATTCTATGCAGCCTATATCTAGTGTGAGTGCCCATCTATATAGAAGATCCATCAAATGCTCATGCACTCGGACGCATTTCATAAATCAGCTTAGCGGTGCCTATATAAAAGGTTTTAGAAGATATCCCTCTGGAATAGCAGCTTTCTTTTTGAACTTTGAATCTTTTGATGTTCAGGACCCGATTGGAGTTCAATGCAGTTAAAGGGCAGCACTTCCGCAAGGTACAACCTCTTCAGACATAGTCCTTTGCACAGACAGAAGCGTGTGGTATACATAAACTCTTGGCGGTGTTGGGTCATTACGATTCGCATTATTGCCTGCAGCGAAAGTGTGGATTACCCAGGTCAAGGAGCTGTATCATCCACAGCCAGAGTGCATATCGGTTCTCAAAGTCAAACACCGTGATCAAACGATCACAATACCCCACAGCTTGTCCTACCCAGGTACATGAGGAAGCGCTTAACCAGTATTTCATTAAAATTCCATAAGCGGCTGTTTTTCTTTTTAATGAAAGGAGCTCACTAAACCTTCGATGTCGCCCTGGCTCTTTCCATTCTCTTACTTTATCCTTCAGCTTATATTGGCCATTTAGATGCTTCAAGCCTAGAGGCTTTAGGTGCTCGTTGAATTCTTCGGTATCTGAGTGCTTCTCTGTGCCATTGAAGACAGGCACTGTTCTCACTCAAGGGCTAGTCTATGTTTCAGGAGAGAGACGTTAATTTAGAAAAGCTGTACTTTTTGACAGTATTCAAGAACTCCAAGGAAATAGCTAGTTTACGGATATATTAAACTACCTCTTCTTCGTGGTCATCATGATTGGCGTACAAGTCGAAGTAGGGTTTCAGGCAAGCCACAGCCACTCGGCGATATTCACGATCATTTTTCAGTGTTTCCAACACTTTTATCCGTCATTGTCCTTTAAAATGCGCAAAACCGTCTCTGAGCACAGAGGAGACAAAGAAAGTCAGAGGCAGCACAGAATAAACGCGCTGTCGGCCGCAGGTTCATCAAGCGCTTCCAACCAGACGCATCGATTCGCTTCTGCCGCTGCTTTTTTCGTACGGATGGGAGAAATTCGGGGCTATTCTGCATAGACAATTATATAAGGTGGAAATTGAGATCCCTTCAAACGGCCCTTTGTTCACGCACGCTGACCTGCGTCGTCCACGGAACTTCGCGATAGGCTGTGCTGTGAGAACGGGAACGGGCTCAGCACCAGGCACGCACAGATTTGCAGTTCAACGGCGGCGCTCTGGCTGACTTTAGCAGTTTTACACAAATGAGCCATGCGAGTTAGGCGATCGGGGTCAACGGGCGCCGAAGGGCAGGCTCTTCCCCCGTATGCTTTTGGGTCAAGCTTTCTGCATAGACGCAACACCCACCAACAGAGTTCCTTCTTCATGGCTTCCCCTGATTCTGGACTGACTGTAGGTCACTTTACTTTCATCCCTGCTTCAGACGTCCAAGTCTGCTCATTTATTGTGGTGACACCAAGCGTTTGCAGCACCTCTTGTAGCTGCTGCTCCCACGGGTCGTCTGGCACACCAAATTGCGCCTTCTGCTGCTGAGTCTGCATTCCGATCCGCAGCTCGTGAGCAATACGAGGGGTTTCAGCCAGGGTCTCCCCCAGCCACTCCCCGTTTGCCCCTTTTCCTGCCCAGGGAAAGCGTCTTCGAGGCACTTAAGTGCCATGCCCCCGGCGACATTATTACCTGCCGCTGCTGAATTGGTTTGTTGCTTGCCCTTACGATTCAGAGCTTAATGTGTTGCCGCTTCCTCAGAATTCATATCGCCAGCGCGTCACTGTTGCTCCTCTGCAGCCTCGAAATTCGCCATGCTACTGCAATTAACCCGAGTCTCTACTATAGAATTATGCTACACTTCACTGACACCCTACGGTCGCACCTCTTCGGCCTCTCTTACTATTGAGTGAAACAAAGTGCCATTCCGTTCCTTAGTTCTACCGTACGCATTGCTCGCAGGGAGCTACTTACCGTCCGATCACTGCTGCAGAATGTACAGTAGGGGATGCCGGTTGGGGAACTACTCCCGATAAGGTCCCCCTGCCTGAACAGTCTGATCTACATTTGCAAGCACGGCTGGCTGGAGGAGATAAGGCGAAAATTAGGGCCTATGGCCAAGGGTTACCGAGGGAGCCGCAGAATGTGCCACCCCCGCGGAAGTGTGTTTTGCAACAGGTGTTTCTTTGGCGAGCTGAGGAGGCTCTCCCTGATGTCGAGAATGAACTTCATGTGGCATGGGAGGAGGCTGCAGATGCACGGGGTCTTTCGCTGGGAGAATGGAGAGGCAGAGTTGAGTGCAATGCGGAGAACATGCTGTCGCCGCTCCCTCTCATTCGACAGAGGGAAGCCATGGGGGATGCTGATGGTGAAGCCTCAGGTAAGGTTTCCCTTTGTCAACAGTCACCGAGTGGTGTCTAGCCGTGCGAGCTGCTGCACTCTCCCGTGAAGCATCTGGCGAGCTTCTCTCTGACACTGATGAGTTGTGCCCGGTCCTGGCGTCTGCTGTAGACTTGAAGATTGCCAAGGATGAAAAAGACAATGTGCTCGAAGGGCAACAGCGCACAGCCACCTATCTTCGTCTGGAAGGTTTCTTAGATCCCAGAGAGCAGCGTACCGTTAGCCGCAGCCAAGCGATGTCGCCGCCGTTGCAGCCTCCGCCTGCCCTCTCACAGCGTCCTGCAGCTTCTCTTCCCTCCGTTTCCCCTTCTCTTTCTTATCGTGCTCCGGAAAGGAAGACTTCCATTAAGGCTGCCTCCATTAAGGTTGCCTCCTCCTACATTGCCTCAAGTAGTGCGCTCCCAGATTCGCGTCCGCCACCGCCTCCCCCACAACCACCACAACCACCAACACCACTGACCTCAGCAATACAGCCACAACCACCAACACCACTAGCCTCAGCAGTACCGCCACAACCACAGCCTTTATCACAACCCTCAACACCACCGCTACCCCAACCATCTCCGCCTTCTCCTCCGCTTGAAAGCGAACCATGCTTTAGCCCCAGTCAATCGGTGGCGCTCACGCCATCGGCACAGCAAGAGGTCTCCCCCCCATCCGAAGAGCCCTCGAAGCCGGTGCTTGAAGAGACTCAGGTGCCGTCTGTTGAAGCCTCGAAGCCAGAGCCTGAGGTGACGCCTCCGCCTCCACCATCCACGGAGCCTCCTCCGCCGTCTGCGGCTGTGCAGATTGCGCCAGAGACTCCCGAGGAGCCGCCCGCTCAGGTGGGGCCCAGCGGGGAGCAACTGGAAGATTCAGGTGCTCTGAAGATGACTGACGCTGCGGCATCTATGGTAGTGCTGCCAATCGTGCCTACAGACGATGGACGGGGGCCTGAAAGCGACGGCTGCACTGTGCCGGAGGAACAGTTAAGGGGGTCGGAGGAAGATGCGCCCTTGGAAGCAAATGCAGTTATAGAAACGAAAAAGATCATCCACAAGTGGACCAAAGTCGCCATTCGCATTGTGCAGTATCGGCGGCTGTATTACAAGTTTGCGCATGCATTTCAACTCGGAGCGGTTACGACCAGGACTTACTGTGTGGTGTTCCATGATGGGGAAGACCTCGATTACGTAAGCAACATAGGCGTCCGCCATGTAGTGTCACTCCTACCTTTTCGCCTCTATGCTGCTGAGCCTGCTTGTGCTTCTCTGCTGGGTCGTTCATTTCGACGAGAGTCGTCTGCACGACTTTTTCCCGAAAATTCTGTGCGCGGCTTCTCAACCGTTGCACGGTGCCGTATTTTGCGGCAGAGTCCGTAGCGATCGGTGTTGTATGCAGTATCCGTAATTGTGGGGGCGGGCAGCTTTGTAGGAAAGACAGAGACAAGGATGAATCAGAGATTGCAGCTTAGGAGAGGGAAGGGGAGGGTGCTTCAGAGGCAAACCGAGCAGACTGGCACACGAGCCGCTTTACGCGAGGATGGTGTCTGTGCTTTTTTTGTTTCGAAACGCAGATCTCCCTCTTGGCATCGCATCGCACAGAAATAGCGCGGCCCCAAAACGACTCGGAGTTCCCAAAGAGTAGAATCAACTGCAATTTCAAGCAAACCGTCAGCAAGCGCACATATATATATATATACACCACAGCGGACAAGCCATTGCCGTAGCTGCTGTTTGATGGATGTTTGTAAAGTAGCACCTATAAAAGTTTAGAAGCTCGTCATCGCCAGCTGTACATGCGGCCATGGCAATCGTTTCTGTCTTCACTATCTCCTAATGCGTGCTTTGCATAGTGGCTGCTGCTGCTCTGCTTTCCTTGTCTCATGCCTTGCCTGTTTGCCTCTTGGTGTGCGATTTTCTCAGGTGGTGCTTCCCTTTGATGTGTCTTCCCCTGTGCTTCGCATTGCTGTTTTATTGGTAATGGCAAAGAAGGGACACAACGGCGAGCCGGGAGAATTCATGCGGCGGGTCGCTGGCATCACCAAACCCCTAAGCGTGGAACAGTGCAGAGAGAGAGTGAGCATGAAAGTTTCTGCCGTGGAGCTTAGATGCCGATAATCTCAGAGCCTTACTGCACGCTTAACGCAACAAGTGCTGAACAAAGAGGAGACTCAAAGTTTCGTACATTCACTTTGCGGCGCAACGCCTTAGTCCTAGATTCGTGTATAATGGTCAGGGCACAAGACATGCAGAGCTGATCACGCAGATGAGCGACAGAGATTCGGGGTGTAGGTACAATGAATTGTTTCTATGTATGTTGCTGTGAGTATATGCGATCAGATGTCGAAGACCAGTGCGTGGCCCCTATACGTCCCTCAACAAGTGATAGGTGCCACAGCTACTCCCGATCCGCAGATCGTCGGTACGTACTGCAAGACGATTGCGGCTGTCTATTTTATATAGCTTCCCTTGCATCTTATTGCAATCGGTGTTCAGCTACACTCACCACGTGGAGTTCCCAATGCATCTTTTCTGGGGCTTTTTTTGTCCATCCCGCGCCGCCTAGCATAAGCTGACAATCATCCTGCTCATGCCCGACGGAACTTTGTTTCCCTTGTGTGCGCTTGCTTGCATTGATATCATTTAATGTGCTTCTTCACGGCGCGATCTATGCAGAGTTGTGCACTCAAAAGCACTGAAATGAATTGTTCAGTTCCTTGTCGTGGCTGAAGTGTGCTGTAACTTTTCCTATTTTGTTTGCAGGCGTCATTTTCTTCACCCTGTCGGGATACACTGGAGGGGAAGGACCTAAGCTATCAGCAGAGGTGGTGCACAGGTAGGAGCACTAGAAGGCGCCCTTGTATGCTGTCTCTCTTGTCTCCCGTGTGCAACTGACGGAGTTGTTTATGAATGGTCAAGCATCCCTCGTGGTATGCAGATGACCAGGGGCTCTTCGTTGTTCTTACATTTGAAAGAAATTGAGCAGAAAGTGATGGCAGAAACTCTCGAAACACTACTCCTGGTGTTTAGTAGTTCACCCAGCACCCCGTTGTTAACTTAGCGGATGTGTTGACTGCACGTTTGTTCTCTTCCATTTCCCTCCTGTTTTCTTGCCAGCCCGAGGGCTTCTTTTTGTCTCTTGTATCCTTTAAAACCCTGCCCTTTCATCCTTTGTGGCTCTCACGTATTTTGCCTCGTGCTCTCTATTTTCTGCTCGCCTCTTGCTCAGTCCGTCCTTTGATTTTCGAGCCGGGAGGCCCCCTGCCACACCCGAGAAGGAATCGGAACCTCCACAGAAGATGGCCTGGTATGAATATTTAAATCCGTTTAAGGCACTGCGACCCCAGTCTGCTGCTCAGAAGAAGGCTGCAGTGTCATTGGAAGTGCAAGACTCGCTTGCCCGTATACCTCTACCCCCTAAACACAAGGAGGCATATTTACATCTCCTCTCCCCAGCTAAGCCTGCAGCAAACGAACGGCCCCAGATTGAGCTACACCGAACCAAAACGGAGGTGCCTGTTCACAAGAAGCAGTCCTTTGATCAGAGCTCACTGCTACCACCTTCAGGGAAGGCAAGGCCGAAGGGAAAAGATATGGTAAGGCGATTCACGCAGTCCTCGGACAAACACATAGCACGCACTGGAGCCTTTCATAGAGACAGCGTTACTTGAAATAGTGAGCGAGGGATTTTTTCGCTAAACACTCATATCGCTTTGATGACTTTCTGGGCGTACACCTGCACGCATTCTCTCCTTCCTTCCCCCAAATCCGCCACTCCTCGGCCCCTGCATGCACCATTGCAATTTCTCTGATGTCCAGACAAAGCACAAGGCCCCCTCAGCGTCGCCTTCTCCTACTGCCAAAGAATCTCGGGCTCCGGAAGAAACCCACTTGACTGCTCTTCCAAAGGATAACACAGGAAAAGCAACCTCCAAAGCTCCCCCCAAAGTTGCCGCAGCTTCCACAGCGGCAAGGGATGTCGGTCCAGCTCCTGCTGCGAGCCTTGGCATGGCAACAAAGTTTATGGCTGCCTCGAAGGAACCCGTAAGATCAATAGGGGCTGCATCAAGTGTGCAGAGCGCTGCCGGTAAAGCCCCATCTACGTCCAGCGGTGATCCACAGGCTGGTGCACTAGATCAAAGGTCCAGCGCAGCACACAAGGAAGTTTCGGGTGTACTCCATAACCAAACACCCTTAACTGCATCCGCAAAGCCGAAGCCTGGAGGACCAAGCCTCTCCAAGAGCAGCATTCCTTCAAATATCGGAGGGAGTGTTGGTGGCAATGCCACTGCTAAAACACCAGCTGCAGAGAGTGCAGTACCAAAGGTGGGGGCCCTTCAAGGCAATGTGCTACAAGCCAAAGGAAAAGCCAGTGTTGCCGATGCACCTTCCAAGAAGGGAGAAAGGATCCTTACCAAGGGACTTATGGCGCAAAGCGCAGCAAGAAAGGAAGCGAGTGCATCTCAAAGCAAAGCAGCACAGCCCTCCCCAAAAGATTCCAGGAGGGGCGGCGGGATTTAAGCCTGTGCTCAAAGCCGGATCTTCAAAGACGCCTGTCTCGTCTAAACCACTTAACTAGGATAAGAGCTAATAACGGAATAAAGAAGAGAGGGTTCATCTCTCCCCCCGGTATCGCAGGGGCACATATGGCAGGCTCGTCGGCAGAAGGGCGAAGACATAGCAAGTGAAAGGGGGTCGTTCTTCCGCTTGGCATTTTGTTTGGTTATGTATAGTGATGGCTGATATAGAAAAGAAAGTTTTCAATGATCTGGAAATCTGTTCAGTGCAAATGAGCAGAACTTGAGTGAAGTTCGGAGGAGCCGGAGGCTTGTCTTTAGGGGTTTCCTCGACGCCCTGTGGCCAGTCGTCATTTCTTCCGCTTTTGGAATCCTTTGTAATTACCTGGATATAGGGTTCCAAGTGTACATGCTGTAATATAAGTACTATGATTACTGCAGTATCCTAGAAGGCTTCATACTTCTGGGCTTGGCCACAGGTGTCATTCGGCCTATATCAATATATCCGCTACTCGCTACCCTTCTGTTAGCAAAAGAGATTGCCTCTACTGATACTTTGCTTGCTTCCATGTTACTCCTGTTGTCGGCCTCTGGTCATGAGTATCGAATCCTCTGCCTTTCGATGCCACTTCATGGCCTTGGAAGTTCCGGGAAATGCCTCTTCAATAGCTGGCTACAATGAATTTGAGACACATGCAATGGATTTGCATAATTTCTGTATGTAAAAATCTTTTCTGTGGTATGCCCCATACACCCTGGGAAAGCGCACTCAAGTGCACATGTCTCTACCCGTAGATTGTTTTGCTAGTTCAGTTTGACAAAAGCATGAAGTGCCACTCATCTCTTATCTGAGGCTGATGAATCTCTACGATATCGTTTCTGAGGGTCATGAGCTCTTGGCCTCTTCTCAATTGGCAAGACTAGTACGTAGATATTGCTTTTCCACGGGAATAGGGAGCATATTATCACTTCCAAAAAGAGTAGAGAGCATGGTTCAAATGCAGGTCCTGGCATGGAAGGCATCACTGAGCTCAGCCTTTCGATATTGTTCACCAAGGTAAGAGCACGACAGCTTATCTTCATGCCTTGGTTGTTCCAACGAAAATAAAAAGATCTTGGATCCAGGAGAGACGGTCGATTGGCTATAGGAATAGGATGGGTAGTATGAGATGCTGCAGATGTATTGTTTTGATCATGGCGGCAGTGCTTTCGAAGCTGCGATACCTGCTGGGTGTATGTATGTGTGCCTTTTAACGCGAGTCAGCAGCTACATCCCTGCACATGACCGCTTTCGCTGACAAGCTGCAATCGTAGAGGTAGGCTGTGTCCCGCTGCGGTGAAGGTTTACGTTTGAGGCTATACCTGCGCTAGAAAGCTGTGGGTAGCGTGCTCTATCTACTATTTCTGCCATCTGTATAAATTTCCGACCGTTTCACAGCTGAATAACCAAAACACCAATTACGAGTTTCAGAATCGGGTCATGCTCAGGGAGTGAGGCAGAGAATTCTTCTGTATTACAAAATTCTGTGAATGTAAAGAGCTGTGTAATAACTCTTTTACACCAACAACGAAGCCCTGAGATCTCAGAAGACTGACAGTCTGTATTCAAAGCTCGATGGCTGGCGTGTACACTTGGCTGAAACTAGGTGCAGCTGGTAGGAGCAAGTCACCGGAGGGAGACTTCCCAGAGTCCCTAATGAGCGGCACCATGAGCAGTTAAGGCTGTCAGCATGAAGGTGTGATCCATCTTCCAAACAGGCGGAAAAATTCTTTTTATGCTTAAGTAAGAATACGCCGTTATTTATTTAATTAATGGAAGACACAAGGTGGGCGGATCATGATTTTTGAAGCCGCTGCCGCGGAGTGCGGGGCCGACCGAACGCTGCAGTTGCCGGGCAAGGGCCTGACCGGAGCAAATACAGCATCGTAACATTGAATCGTGAATGCCTAATAGATGTTGCGCCTATTTTTTCTCAAAATGTACGGCTGATGATGATGAGGGGCTAAACGAAAAGCATTTCCATCTGTTTTGAGCGGTGGAGGGAGGCCTTACCAGATCTGAAGGCTCCATCGTCGTTTTGTTTTCGAGTGACGTTTCAACACTTCACCCAGCCACTCTTCTTGAAGGGTGTGGTTTTTGCCTTTTGTTTTGCACAGCTAGCCTCCCCCTTTTGGTGAGACACTCCCGTTTCCTGGAATACACAATCGGAAGCCCGACCATCCCACGAGCATCACAGACAAGCCAGTTCGTGTGGAAAAGCACGTTACCTGCTTGCTCCAGCAAGCACTCTGCAGACTTTTGCTTTGAGAGATTGAGCTTTTTAAGCAGCCGTGGTGGTTTGCGAGCCTTGGACCCACAAGATGAAGCTCTTATTGCCTGAGATTCCCCAACACCCTGGACTTGTTGGCGTGAGTCCTTCACAGGGCGAGAACTTGGTAGTGCTATCGACAATATTCAACCCTCCTCTAGCCTAAGTGTACAGAAGATCAACCTCCTGTCTCCCCTGTTTGCCCAGACCACAGTCTGCGTGCCCTCCTGTCCTGTTACTTCAGAGAGGGCCAAGAGGAACGGATGGAGACTTTACTGCAGGGGTAAACAATCCTTCCATGAGGTTTCTCGCTGCGGATGGATGGAATGTTTGGTTTTAGCTCTGAGACAGCTGTTGACCCTGGCTGTGACACCGCTGAAGTCACTGGTCTGTTCGTCCAACTGCTTCAGAGTGCACAATGAATTTTTCGCCATGCTGCTCACATTGTGCAAAGATAAGTTCAAGCGCGTCTGTTGTATGTGCCTGTCTCCCCGCTTTAACAGGCTCATGAGGGGGATCGCCTCTACGGAGGAACCCTTCTGATTGAAACAACGAAAGCACAATCCAGGCCAGCGACACCGGCCCCCACACCTCCGCGCCCCTCCTGTGGATCGCGCCTCTGTTCCATTTTCAAATGCAGCGCTGCTTCCGAAAGGAGCTGCACGCCCGCAAGGGAAACCACCCGCTCAGGAACAAGTAATGTCTTCGACGATACATGGCCAACGGTGAACGTCTACGACTATCTTCAATGTGAGGAACAGATGAACGAAAGGCCAGCGATGCAACCCACGACGCCATCGCAGGGGGAAGCGCAGAACATGCGTGATTCGGTGCAAGCGAGCCACAGGGAAAACACCGCAACAATCACATCTCCCACTTGGCAGCGAGACACCCAGGCGAGGCAGCTGGAAGAACCGGAGGCGACAAGGGATACGCGGGACTATCAGCAAATGCCCAAGACCTTCAGTCCAGGCAATCTACAGCCAATCATGGAGAGGAGGATTGGGCTGGGGGCACAGGCTATGCATCAGGTTCCTAGTCGCGTATTCGGGGGCATAGCTGGAGCGAATAGTGAGCTTTTGGTGCAATGGCAACTACACACAAGACTAGCACCACATATCTGTTCCCTTCTCTACTTTAGAGACAGAAGTGCTGACTGAAAAGTAAGCCTGAACAATTTTATTGAAGCTTGATTTTTTTTCAGGCGCCCGGGACTCAGAGAAAACAATGTTCAAACGGAAGAGCCAGAAGGCAGCGCAAATCGACACTACGGGCCCCAAAGAATTGGTGGACACAGTTGTGCCGAAAATGACAGTCGAAGAACAACTCAAATTTGTTGATTTAGAGTTTGTTCAGGAAGTGGAAAAGTTTGTGGAGGTGCCAGAAGTGTTTTACAATGACGTCATTGTCGAGGTGCGGATATAGTTGACGCTATGAAGCCCCCTAGGAGGCAGTGTCGCCAAACATCGTTAGTATGATCGTGCGACCTTTGCGGCTTAATGGTATTTTTGCAGGTCCCTCAAGTGATTGAAGTCATTAAGGTTGTCCCGAAAGAGGAAATACGAGAGAATATAACATATGTTCCTCGGTTTGAAACAAAGTACATCCCCAAATACGTCGAAGTGCCCATCATTAAGATAGTGGATCGCTATGAAGAAGTGGATGAGATTCACGAGATCTTAAAGCCAGTGGTGAAAAAGTCCGTTGTAGACGTAAGTCTATTGGAAGCAAATATCTGAGGCATTATCTGTAGTTTGAAATAAATGAAGCATCGCCACTGACAACTCTCGAAAATGTGAGTTTTGTTGCAGTGCCCCCAAGGAGTGCTCAAAAAGGTGGCCAACCCTGTTCTCAAAAAAGTCATCGTGGAAAAGAGAGTGCCAAACGTACAGGTTCGTCAGGGTCCTGATGATCCTCGAGAGGCAGTCACTCCCTAATCGGCAGTTCCGCGTAGGTACCTGAGTAGCGCCGCGAGTCTCGCATGCCGAGTGCGTGCTGTATGTGCTGACTGTTGTGAAGTACGAAGACGTGCCAGTGTATAAAATAAGGCAGGAGCCAAAGATAATCAAGGAAGATATGCTCAACAACAAGCCACACTTCATCGATATTCCAGTTCCTTTCGAAAGGCCCGTGTAAGCCTGTGTAACGCCCAAAGCAATTCCGCTTCGTACACTTTTGTTGCTGGCGGGAGAACTAGTTTTTTCTTATTTTCTCACATTTCTTTTTCCTGTATCTATTCAGGGTTAAATATGTCGACCAGCCTTACTTTGTAAACCGCTATCGCGACCACCTTGTGCCGATTCCCATGACGCCCTCTGTTAGACCCATCTTCCGTCAGGGCCAACACACGCAACCCGTAGAGGTCCCCATTCCCGCTCCATATCTTGTCACGCACACAGCCCACAGCTATCATCGACCCGTTTCCAACTACCCAGTTGGCTCGTCTCAAATGCAAGCCTACAGACAGAGGGAGAGTCCGCGAATGCCTACAGGGCAATACGGTACGTTTGCTTTGTTTTCGGGGGGGTGTCTGGAATCCTTTTTATTTGAGGAGATTTGGCGAGCACTCAGACTTTTGCCTTCGGCCAAAAGTAGAAATCGGTACGTTGCTATAGGTGCGGCTTTCCGCTGCAGGACAACACGGCGCCAACCAGTGTCTAGCTGTCCCCTATGGAGGTGCTAGCTCACAGCCCCAGCAGATGCTAGGGCTCTGCCCTTTGCCGAATGCTGGTGTCCATCAACCCCGTGGTGGACCTTCAACCCCCTGTTTGTATAGGTGTTGCATATAGCCAGACCACCCATGTCGGCGAACCCAACGGCGCGGGAGTCACACCGCGCTGCCTCGATACACGTGTCTTGTTTCATGTAACATTCAAGAGAGTTTTGGCATGTTGAAAAAACATAGCTTCGCTATCTGGGGTGTATTACCCAGTATCTCCGCGAGTAGAATGGATATCTTGACTCGCACAAAATCCTCTGACACGCTTGTGTCGTTGTTGAGGAGAACTAGAATCTGCGAGGTGTACCATGTGGCATTCAATATATCTTTGTGTGTACTACTAAGCCACACCGCTCGTAGTGCCTCGTCCAGCTCGGTACAGGAGCAGTATCGTTCAAAAAGGACGCTGTGCCACTTTTTTTTAACGAAGCCCTGTTGACTGCCTTGAAAGTTCACCTAATTAAGTAAGCCTTTGTACATGCGTGGATGAACATTGACGTACTCGGAATTTTTTTTTCACCAATGAAGACGATAAGGATGCAAATCAGGATGACGTGTATCCATTCCTTCGGGCAAATCATTTATCTAATCTTTGAAAGGAGCCGAATAAGTTTACTTGTTCGTCAAACAGCTGTGTCTTGTGCGGGGAGAGCACCAGCTTATCCACCAGGCAAGTGCATTCTATTCATGCCTGATAACTTCTTTCCATCTACTAGACACTTTATAGTGCAGTTTACCGGCCATGATTTCGACGATTTCATCAGACGTGCATCCAGAGAAATACATGAGGCGAACCGTCTTTTCCAATAGTCTGGTGCAGCTTACTGTAGCTGGACGCACACTTGCCTTCCCATGCAGCGAAACTTACTGAAGCAAACGAGTATCCGATGAAGACAGCGATGCGTTATTGTTTATTAGGCAACTAGAGTGCATGAGCAGCTGGAAACTTCTGTAGCAAAAGGGCTTCAATGCCACACGCTCGAACACGTCGCCCGTGCTCATATACCTAGGACGAACGAATAACTATGATAGGAAAAAAATTACCAAAAAGCTTACTCGCTTAAGTTTCTAGGAGGAGTCGAGTATCCACATGCGGCAGAGTGGTGACTCATCATCATTGCTGCACGGTATGGAAACTGCTGGTTCTTTAGAAAGCCACCAGCGTAAAGAATAGCCACAAGGTGGTGAAAGAATTCAGTTTAAATCGCTGGAAAACACTCAGATGCAGTAAAGATATATTGTCACCATGTTTATCGATGGGTATTAGCATTTATCACAATTGCATCCTATGTAGAATGGTTTGACAGTCCGGACACGAAAGACAAGAACACATCCAGCTAAAGACCACGATTCGACCTTCTGACTGTACTAAATTTTAGTAATCTTATGCATTTTGTCTTATTGTATATCTAGAGAAAAAGCATATGCCTCTTGTACAACACGCATCATGCCTACTTAGATCTGGGCACCCATGGGCTGGGGTTGTCACCTATATCGCTTATTCCTTCAAAGCTGCTCTATGCCTGATATCCTCCGAGAAGGGAATCCGGAAAAACCCAACAATTTTAAAGCTCTGCCCCCAATAAGTTGCACTTAATCATGACATGCCAGCAACCGAGCACACATGGAAAAAACTATAATGCAGCTCCAGATTCGGAACGAGCGAACTCAACCACAACCCTATTAAAAAAACACGTTTAGGCTGTACAAAAGAAAGGCCTGCCAAGAATATTAGCATGGTGAGGTTCTTGCCTTCTTTCGGGGGGAAAACATATCTTTCCACTGCCCATGGCGCCCACCATGAACACCACCATAGCTACACAATCTTGATCTTGGCTACCCACAATAGAAGGTGCTGTTTTTGATACAGCTGAGAGACTTAGTTAAAGCTTATCATAGACATTATGCTTCTGGAAAGTGGTGTTGTACCGGTGGCCGGCGGGATCTGAGAATTCGGTGGAAAAACAATGCACTCATCAGAGAACGTGCCAGCTAGAGCTTCTTTAGTCACTTGCCTTTTTAACAAATGCATTATTGCAGTCTGCTCTTGTGTCAGTTAAGCTTTCTAAAGAGCCTAGCCGTGTGATCAACAGCTACCTATGGGAAATCCTTGTGGTAAGTTGCTCTTCCAGAACTTCCATCCCCGTCCTCCAGCCTTAACAACAAAGATGAACGTGCACACGAAGCTAGAGAATAAGAAGGCAAAATCAGGACAAGCTTGTATTACTTTGTTGCCTCTAATAGCACTCTGACGCTCACTTATAGTCCCAGGTCCGCTGCTGCAGCTGGCTGAAGCGAAAGTGAACATGGATTAGATTCTGCAGCGGTTGAGACCTACTAGGCTAAGGATAAACGGCACGGCGGCAACGATGAGGAAAAGGGCAATAAGGTTTGCAAGGATGGCCCAAAAAAGAGCACCACCACTTTTCTCAGATATGTTGTCCGCTGAAGAGGCGTTCGGTGGAGCTACCACACAGATACACAGGCAATCAGTTTTAAAAAAGAACATACAGAAAATTACCAAGACTGAGCAAAATATGACCGTCACTATAATATGCTTCTCATGTTTCTTCATGACGCACCTTTCCTGATGCTAGTGAGCTCACCTATATCAGAGCTCGTTGGAAGCTCGTCGCCATCCCATGTGGCTCCGTCGGGCTCCATAGATTCAGCTATGACTCCAAAACTGGGCGCATCATGCTCTGCTTTATTTATTTGTAGATCGGATGAAGGGAGAGCCCCTGTTAGCTGCGTGCTAAAACTGGGGATTGCCTCTGCTACAAGCTTGTGGGAGGTGGCGGGCATCCCAGAAGGGCCCAGCAATCCTCCGGCAGTGGTAGCTGAATTGCGGATAACAGTACCCTCCTGAATAAGAGAAAAGGGTGAAAAATGCGCAAAGTACTGCACTGGGTCATGCTGGTCTAGTGAGCCACTGGGATTGTTTGCATCGATTAAATCGCGAGTTTCCAGGGACACACGTTGCCCTTTCTGGGGAAGACCTGTGCCGTTGAAAATTCCTCTTTTCAGGTGTTTCTCTTGCAGTGCCGATGCTAAGACGAGGGAAAACATAAAAATAGCCCTCGTCAGAGGGTAAATGACCTGGAGGTCAATAGGGTGACTGGCCAGGCGCAACCCCATTGTAGCAGGCAGAGTCTACTCACAGACACCATGAAAAGAGCCACCTTAGGATAGTTCTAGGATAAGTTCACAAATTTCAAGCGTGGCTAGGGGAAGTAAGCGTGGTACCAGCATCGAGACGACCGGCGAGCTGCACAGGAAACAAGAAAACAAGATGTAAAGCGAGCTCATCCGTTGAATATGGTGAATACAGATATACAGGTAGTAAATAAACTCGATACCTACGTTTTTAGCAAAAAGGGGAGAGCACAGCAAAGCGAGCAGCTGGCGCCAAGCGTCGTCCAGCTGTTATTTACGGCTGCGGGGCCGTTTAGGGGGAACCCTTCTCGGTAGCGACCAAAGGCATACTGCAAATTTGGGGGGCCGCAGCTATCCACTACTAATTATGTCATTTAAACAGTATCAGAATGCTCCGGGTTTTGCGTTTTCGCTTCTTTTTCCTGGTGCACACGGCAATTTCTCCCATGCGGTGCACGTGATCTCATGGACTGCTTTGGCCAGTCGGCTGCGGCAGCTGCTGCCACTCTGCTTTTTCTTTTCCTCCTTATCATATCTGCTCCTTCTAATGCTCTCCCCTGCTGGCTCAGATCCCCACAGAGGCTTTTTCGTCGTGAAAGAATGCAGCACATCCACCTGGGACCGCGGTGGGTCAGGCCGCACCGCAGAATCCCCACTAATTTCCCGCATGTTCCTCTATTCTGTGCTGCTGATTCAACGGCAACTTCTTCTACATCTAATGGTAATCTTACGCAAAGCTCAGATGCTTGTGGGGTGGATCCCAATGAAGTGCCCGACCGCATTACCAAGGATACAAGGCTGTCCACAGACATGCACCTAGCACTGCATACTGCACTACACGATCTCACTTCCTCGGAACTCTCAAAGCTATTAGAGCATGCAGGGTTTTCGCTTCCTCAAGAAGCTGCAGACAGGGAAGCCCTTGCTCGTTCATTGAGGGCACTCCTCGATAGAGAGCTGACCGCCTTGGAGGAAGCAGACGATCAACATAGTAGCCTTAACCCAGCAAAGTCCCACAATCACCATAAGGAAAAGCTAAGGATGAGGCTTGAGTCTTTGAGAAAGGATATAGATGCAGAGACGACGACCCATGATTGTGTTGACTCCCCTTCCAATAAGGTGCAGCCCCAGTCGCGTCCCTTCAGCCAAATAAGCTCCCTGCGGCCTCTGTGGCTTGAGCAGCCTAGGCAGTTTTCGTGGGATAGCGAGCTGTACTCACTAAGAGAACTCGTAGGTGGTCTCACGGAAGGTGGAGAAGGAAATTACCCCCCATCAGAAGAAAGCCTCCTTAGGGTACGCGACGAGCAAGTTCGGGAAATCATTTTCCTCCCTGCACAGCTCATGGAGGAAGAGGTCGAGGCGGCCGCGCGGCTGCTGACGCGGTCTACAGCGCCATCGGCACCTCAGTCCTCCGGTGTTTCCCCTGTGCTGCCTCAAGAGACGCAGGGGCCTGTCTTCGAAGGCCGCTGCAGCGCCTCAACTATAGGGGCTCCTCGTACACTTTTACGGCTCCAGTACGAGCTATCGCAAGTCATCAAAGACCTCAACTCAACGTTTTGTCTCCTGCAGAGCGGGGTGCAGTGCCGTCCGAGGGGGCCTCCCGGAGAATCTGGCCCAGGAGTGCAGCAGAGAGGCGCTGAGGGCCTTGCGGACCCCCAAGAAGCACCCGAGAGCTCTGAGATGATGACTCCAGAACGCCAAATCGAAGCACTTAAACAGCCTCTCTTGTCTCTTTTGGGTCTTATGCCTGAGTTCAAGGACAGGAACGAGCTACTAGGGGCCGCGTACTGCACAAAAGTGAAGAGGGAGGCAGGAGACTCCGCCGAAAACGAGAAACTGAGGGGTATTCTCCTGCTACCGGGGAATTTGAGCCCCAGGTATTGTACACAATTAGGCGGAGGGACTCAAAGTTTGGCGCAAGCACCTTTGGTGCAGCTCATGTGTATTTTGATATCTGTGCCTCCTTGGCCTCTCAGACCTCTTTTAGTCCCCCTTCTTTCTTTATACGCTTCAGTCTCTTTCTTGCCTGCTTCGTGTCGACGTATCCTCAGGGATGCCCGTGTGCGCTATTTGGCGGACCGCATCGCGCATAGCTGCCAAGCGTTGGTTCTTGTGCCCGAGCTTCTCCCATCTGGCAGTAATCCTCCTTCCCTTGCCGATTCTGCCTCTTCCCCGTCCTTAAACCGCTTAGCTGAGGGTCAGCTAGCTGCAATGCGTTTGCGCCCTTACGGTCTTCAGGGCCTAATAGCAAGGGCCCTCCTTTGGATGCATCTCAGCGAAGGGGCCCAGACACTGGGACTGGTAGGGGTGGGGGAGGGCGCTAAGGAAGCCTTACTTTTTGCTGCGCTAGCAGCACCAGGCGCACATGCATCTGTGGCGCTACCGGCGGCGGCCTCAGCAGTGGAGAAAAATTGCAGGCTCAACGAGGGCCCCAGTTCTGCGTCTATGGCCCAGGACAGGAGACTCCTGCCCCACCTGGATACTGTTGTCGCATTGTACCCCACAGAATTTAACATTGACCAAGTTGCTGCGAAGCTACAACTTCCAACCCTAGCTCTGTTCGATGAGGAGCCGATCCCAGCAGACAAACGGCTGGAGCCTAAGAACAAAACAGAGGGAAACCCTCACGGCATTGCAGAGGTGGTCCCCTCTTCCTTTGCTGCTGCGTTTGACAAGGCGTTGCGCAAAATTGGGCGCACGAAGGATCACTGGGTGCAAGCAGTGCCGCGTTCGGCCAAATCGCGTCGGGGAAAGTTTAGTGAGCTGGTAAGTGCGCAAGATGCCTCTAGTAAAGCAATTGCGATCGGAGGAGGGGGGATATGAAGGGGATACGGTAATGCCGTGTGGCTTTGTCTCGTTACTGGAGCTCAGGGCCCGTATGGTGTAGGCTGGTTGCCTTTCAGGTAGATGACGACCTGCTGCTCATGACGACTTCGTGGCTTAGCCTCTGGATGGGAGGAGAAGTGCCGCACTCTATAGATGCAGTGCGAGATGTCAGCGGATTTGAACTCCGCTTCCGCGATTTCAGGCACACAGACTCATCGGTCTCACCCAAGGGTGAGCAAACGAGTGGTGGTGCCAGTACCACATAAAAAGCACATTGACGCGGTATATAGAAGAACCTCCAGCTGCAAATGCAGAGGGGTTTGTTCTTGTCCATGAGGACGAAGTAAACGCTAGATAATGAAAAAGAATTTGGCAAAACAAGTCTTCGCTTTCATCAGGTTTTTTTTCGCTTTGTCGCCCTCAATTGAGGTTTCAACAACTAAAATGGTAATTAATTTTATCTTGTGCAACTGAGCACAAGACATACTATTAGAAATTATGGTACCCAAATCGGTACTCCCCCAATATGCGAATCCACCAGCTGACTGATCACATACACACCGCTGCACAGCCGCCACGGAAAAGCGGACAAGGAGCACTGAGAACCTTTGGGATCTTTAACTCAATGAACCTCCGTTCCCACTCTTCCTACAAATAGTGTTGCAGCTGCAGTCTCCGCCACTGCGGAACCAATAGCCACAAGCAGGTATCTCTGGCAACTGACAGAAGTTTACTCTGCTACTCGGCATTGCCTTGGAAACCGTAAGTGCACCACCCAGGTGGTTCACTGACGGACAAAGACAGTCTCATAAAATCCATTCAGAGCGCTGAAGGCTCTAGAAGGACCATTCATGTGATGCCCCTTTGTGATTCCATGACAAAAGCCCTAGGGGCCTTCTTCAAGGTCCAACTCTCTCGCGAACAGCAACATAAATGCCCGCCGAAGCTTTTTCCAGATACGAATGAACGAAAGAGAGTATTCAGTTTGTGTTTACTGTATCCTGGACTCCACCGGAAGCTATTACTGCATGGAGCAGTCTTTCACATGGTCGTTCTGGGGAGGCTTAAGAATTGAAGCCTTAGAAAAAGCTTTGTTGCGTCCTTGTCGCACTTCTGCAAGGCAAAACAATTACCAAATTCAATTATATTTTCAAGTTCACAGTCATATTCTTCTTTTCGTGTCTTCTCCAATGTCGACTGCTCGTTTCTTGAGATTCTACCAGCCTAAAGGCTTCCAAGTTCATGTAAGGGAGTCTGGCCTCAGACGTCGCATGTGCGCATTGTACTTCTTCTGTTGAAACTGAGGTGATGGTGGGGAGGTTCATTTGAATCAACAATCATTACCTGGAGCCAACTTAGGTCCCCAACTCTCTTCGTGATGCGTCCTTTACTGTCTCTTTTGCAGCCACTAGGAGAGTGAAAGCCCAAGCGTAAAAAATACGGCTTCCATCTGCCTTCAGGTACTACAGGCCACCGAGGTGGAGGGCAACACGGAGAGGGGTTCGGGGATGCGGTACTCTGGATCGTTTGGGGGGGCAAAAGGCAGTTCCCTCTCTGGCCTTCCCATATATCGGAGGTGGAAGACGACACGCGCTCTATTTCGGCATCATTTTTTTTATCTGTGCACTCCGGCAGTAGGGGAGAAGAACTGATGGAACGAGGAGGCCACCAGTTTCCCTCGTCTCGGTCTCTGTCATCCTCCCAACCTAACGGAACAAAATCAAGTGAAGCCGTTGTGGAGACTGATGATGAAGTGCTTAAGGGGGAACCCTCCTTGTTTTCCTGGTCATCAGCTCTCAGATACTGAAAAGTGAAAGCCTCTTCTGAAATTTCAGCAGCCGATGCCGCATAGGGGCGATGACAGGCACGAGAAAAAGCCTGTGCGCCCACTACGGGGATAGTGTTTTGTTGCGGCAGTTGCTGCTGCTCCTTGCTAAGAAGAGCTGCACGGCCTACCTCAAGGGCAGCCAACCCAGCGAGGACGCCGCCATCTCGGTTTTGCACGGGAAGAAAGGCGCTGTCTTTGCAGCATCCCTTCCCTGACCAGCGCGAACCCCTCTTATCGCTATCTATGTCACACTTATCCTCCAATGGATCGCTGTGGGGCAGCTCGTCAAATAAGTCGGAGACAGCTATTCCTGAGCAGGCCCCCAGGAGGTCTGTGGGATAGCGGCCGCTGCAAGAAGCCACCGTGGGCAAGCCCCCAAAACCCACGCCGCAGGCTTCCGCAAAGCAGCGAAAACACGCAGCATGCTGCGAGTGCTGATGATGTATTTTCACTGCGCTTGCTGTTGCTGGGAAAGTTTGTTTGTGGGGGCAACTAAATCCAATTCCAAGTGGGGGGGTGTCAGGTTTTAGTGGAGTAGAGGCGGCAAGGGGATTGCGCACATCTGCTGAGTTGGAAACCACCAACGGGGCCCTTTCATCTCCATCTTCCGAGACAGCTGCCGGTTCCCAGCAAGGGGGAGCATGCGTGCAGCTAAAAAGGCTGCAGAGGATAGCTGCAGCCACCGAAACGATGAAGGACGCGCATGCCAGGACGAAGAACAGAGCTTCTGGTGCCTGGGAAAGAATGGTAGGAGCAAGCCAGTAGTCGCTGGCTACAGTGCAATCGCAGAATGCGGCTAGGCCCCAGGCCCCCGCAAGAGCAACCAGTTGGCTTCTGCCTGGTGTAGCCAGAGGCTTTGTCTTCCACCTCTGAAGCTGCAGCTCGAGTAGCGTTCCGGCAGCACAAATTGCAGGTAGCGCCGCTCGAATGCAGTGAAGGCGGAGGCGAACGACTGAGATGGCAAGAGCAAAGACAGAAAAAACCGCTGTGGTATGGCTGAAAGCTCGGCACCTGCAAGGACTTCTGTTGCGCTTGTTATCGCTAATTGGTAGTTCAGGCTGGGGCATACTCGTGAAGCTGGCTTTGGCTTGCTGTGGAAAGGGTTGTTTTTCCGGTTGAGGAAGAGAGGCCCTCATGTCTGCATAGTGATTATCCGAGTCGGAAGATCCATCCAAGAACACCAGTCAAGCTCTCAAAAACCATACACACCGAGAGAGCACAACCCGGTTTTATTTATGGATGGGACGTACAGCGAGACCAATTTATCAACTTGCTAACTCTGTCGCAAAATTTTGGGGCTTTTGTGAAGATGGGAAATGATCTGCCCGCTCGTTGAGCTGTGATCCGGTACTGTTTTGTTGAATAGGGTCTTCCACAAAGACCGAGAAAAAGGTTGGCTCGAGCTTCGCCTAAATTTATCTTCAAGCCTTGTAGGACGAAAAAGAGGGTTTCATCGGTGCCGGTTTGTTCTTCATGAAACGCCAACTCGTGCGGCAAGTGACTAACCCTCCCGCCTGAAAAAGACAAACTGAGTGCTCGAACAAGAACCAGAATTGCTGCATGCATAATGGGGTCTATCACACGCGTATATAAACTTCGCCGCTTTGTAAGAGCAAAGAAGAACAAGACCTTGGGAAGAGAGCATGTAAGTTTTCAGCGGCGAGCAGCGGGAGGCAGAGCCCAATTTCCCACAGTAACAAAAGATCAACCACTGAAGTTTACGTCAGACAGCCTTGTGTTTCCTTAAAGGAGAAGGGAATTTGCCTTGTAAATTCATACTAAATTTTCCATTTCACCTCTCGCATGCCGCTCGCTTCATCACTGAAGAGGACCGACGTTCCGTTCATTCAATAGAGCCCCTCCCCATGCTGACCACTTCCGTTGTTTTCCTCAAAATAATGTTATCTATGTGTTTTACCAGTAAGGGAATTGAAACTACTGTATGTGGGGCGCTCTCAATTGCTAAGACAACGGGAACACGAGACAATTTCGTGGTACTTCGGCCTTTTCTGTGCAAGTCTGCAGCGTGCCCTCGCACTCCACATAGCATATGTTCGGAAGTGCAAGGCCTAGTACTGGGGAGCCATGAAGTTTGAATCTGAACTGAGTATACTCGCTAAATTTATTTGATGAGCCATTGCAAATTATATGCTTTTCTCCTCTACATATTCTATTGACCGTGAATCTTTCTTACGCCAGGCCACTTTCTCCTGGTAAACGTGTAGGAATGAAGTTTGCCGTCTTTGGCCCAGCAGTTGATTCAAGCACCTTTGATCATACATTGGCGCCTTCATCTCAACTCCACCACATTCAAGCTTTAAACCAATGTAATATATAAGACAACGGCTAACAATACCTTGTCCCACTTGCTGCGGGCAGCGCAACATTGAGGCACTTTTAGCTACTCGAGTGATATGTACTTACGAGTTAACTACGCATCTGCCGTCTTTCAGTATTCATATTTCGATTTCGTCGCAGAGCAGGGTTTTTCCAACACAGTAAAAATCCACTGTGTATGTTTTTTGGCAGGCAACTACTGGCAACTGGATGCGAATCGTAAAAGTGCTCAGAGCCTGCAAAAAAACGAGCATCCTACCTCTCCTTTTTTCTTTCATTCTGGAAGCTTGTAGGATAAGGCCAAAAAGGGGGGCCTTTTTGGAGGGGCCGCTGAAGAGCTTTCTAGGCTGGGGGGATTGCGTATTGGCCTACGGGGATTTTCTACTCCACTAGCTAAATTTAGTTACGAATTGGTAAGGTGAGTGTTTGTAGTGGCCTCTTGTGTCGCTACTTTGTTGCGGAGTAGATTTAGATTAGTACGTATCTAGCGCCCTCCCCAACGTCTTCGGAGAGACACTAAATTCCATACACGAAACACACATGATTGAAACTTGTACGGGGTTTTAAAGAGCTTTTTCATTGCCCTGCCCTCGATCCCTACACTTTCCGATAAAAAGGCAGAAAAGATCTAGGGTCTTAGCACGCTAGATCCTCAGCATTTTAAGACATACGCCCTCGTGTTCCATGCCAGTACATCAAGACCACTGCGTGAAGCACAACGAAAAGTTCCTGTACTCTTATCACTTTCCAGATGTACAGAGATGCGGAAAAGTACAAGTGGCAAAAGCAAAGCATGCCCCTGTCGCTAAAAAAGAGAAACCAAGGGGAGAAAAGGGACATTTACTAGCCAAGATTGAAAGAGGAATCATAGCAACATGACCGCGACGGCGCGATGTCTCGCTGTCGCCGGAGCCCTGAGAACATTTGAACCTTCTACGATGAGAAAACAGGAGACAAGCAAAAGGTGTAGTGGTCTTCAAAGTACACAGTAGTTGAGCAGCGCTTCTATGTCTCATCGAGTGATATCTCAGCAAATGCGTGCAGCGTGGTCGCCTTCAATGGCCCAAACGAAACATATGGAAGAATGTAGAGGCACGATAA